GTGGATGGCACTGTCCTGTACTGTATGTACACTACACCACAGCATGTACTACACAGCCATACAGTACGCTGCCTCAAGGTATGTACAGTACGTACTGGGGGACGGCGCGCGACTGGTGGTCATCGTGGCTTGCATGGCGGCGCGTCTGCACGCTGCACCTCCTGCCGTAGCGCCTGGGGCTACTGCCTGCGGGCCAAGAAGCAGACAGACAGCATGAGTGAGCGGCGGCGCGCCGTCGAGTTCGCTGATGAGGGAGAGGAAAATTCCCCGAGCAGTTGAAACTGCCCGGCATCGATGAATGGGTCTGGATTGGCCTGGGCGGTCGGTCGGGCGGTCGGTGGGGGGAACTTCAAATGTTACATGCGTTGTCTATTATTATTGTTGTTGTTGTTCTTGTGGATTGTTGCGTCCTGCAAGATCCTACCGACCGACCAACCACCCCGAGTCCTGCCTTGCGGGACTGGACAGCTCCGAAACACTGTCGATATGTCTGTCGCTCGAGTTCTCGTTTGGCAATCTGCACTCAGATGAATGCGTGCCCTTCCTCGCTCGCTGCCCGTCCCTTTGTGGATAGGGACGGGGCGCGTTTCGCCGATGTTACCACCGGTCTACTAGTGACTGTGTATTCGCCATGCTCTCTCTTGTCACTGGCCGGCGGCGGGCGGCAATGTCGACATTTCTCCTGGGGAGTTGCCCTCACACTGAGTAACGTCCGGGTTCGAATACCGTCTGGCGGGTCCAGAGGTCCCCCCCCCCAATCTTTCTCATCAATGACAAAACCCGGAGAATGCCACCGTCACTCGCCCATCGAGACGCCGCTCTGGTAGGCTACACTAAGATCTGCAAATGGTTCACCTCTCCGCGGGGCAGCGTTCCAAGGATTAAGTGGCTTCCCACCACCGGCACCGGGGGCACTATAAACCAAGGATGGCGATGGTGGTGGTGGTGGTGTTTGGAGACATCGTTCGGCTTTTCAAAAACCCAACCCGGGGCATCTCTAGCTAAAGACTCGGGGCATAGGTGTCCAATCCAGCACTGTATACAGACAGCCGCACTCATGGATGATGCATGGTCAAGGTAGGTAGCTGGCTTGGCCGCGGACAGTATCCCGGGATGGCCCAGCCCCGCCCCGGGATCACCTCTCACACCCAGCTGCCGGCATGGCAGCATGGGGAGGAGGAAGAGGAGGGAGGAGCCCTGAGCACCCCGGCTGCCACCAACAACACCGGCATAACGAGCTCTGCGTACAGTGCGTGCCTCACCATCCATCTACGAGTCGGACGTGATATCGCGAAACAGATAGTCCGTCGCCGGCCCGGCCGGGTCGTCATCAAAGAAGGAGGCTCTTTTGTCACTATCTGCCTATCTATTCTGATAATCCCCGGCCGCCTGCTAGCTGGCTGGCGTGATGTGGACCCCTCGAAGCCAAGCGGCGTTCCAGGCGCCCCCTCCCTCCCCCTTCCCCCCTCGGATAGCGTGATAGCGTGCCACTCGAGGAGGATTTAGGGACCTATGAGGCTGTTCATACGCCATCCGCCGCCGCCCTGGTAGTGGTGGTGGTGGTGGTGAGCAACGGGGAAGGGGGAACTAGCTCACGCCATATGGCATGTTCATCAGGTTTGAACCGTTGCTTTCCAGTTGTGTGGTACCGCTGCAAGCTGTCGGGGCGAATTCGCTTTCCAGCGTCACTGTGCATGCATCCTGTATTTATTTGGGTTTGATGGATAACTGCCCGCTGGTCGTGCGCGCTGTGGATTTGTGCGGCGTCTATGCCGCCGCTGCTGCTGCTGCTGCTCCTGCTGCTGCTACGGTTAGGCTTTACAGATACGTGCGGCGGGTTTTGATACTTCTTCCATCGATCTCTGTGCCTGCTGCACGTCGTGCGGACAACGGATGACACCCCCAGCGCGGACTCGGCTGGCGATCAGGGTCCAGCAGGGACTAAGGATCAGGGAAGAAGGACGGACAACCTTGTCGTGCCAGCCCACCCTCCCACCCATCCACCCATCCATCCATCCACTGCCAGTGGGCACAGCACGCAAGCAAGAGCCCTGGGCGCTTCCTAGCACCAAAGCCTAGCGCGCACAGCAAGTACACGTACACGCATGGCAAAGTTAATGCGTTTCGTCCAATCTCCAGCGGGCGCAGCAACCTTGTATTAGTGTAGTCTACATGTGTATGGGGTTGCGGCTGTGGGGGTGGAGGCTCTTTTTTTCCCCTTTCACCCTTGCTCGCCGTTTTGTATTTCAGCGAGCTTGCTTACGTGTGCACCGTGGCGTGTCCGCATAGCTTTTGTTGAGTGAAACGCTGAGCCTTTTTTTGTTGTTGTTGTCGCTCGCAGCTGTCGGTCAGGCCAAGTTCTTACCTGCCTGCCTGCTTGCTTGCTGATGCAGTGGCATCAGCATCGTGCGTCCTGCACCCCAGACGCCCCCGATGGCACCGCCGAGGTGGCAGTCTCCCACAGACCCGTCGGATCGAGGGAGATGGGAGCTGGCTGGTTGGGTAGTCAATAAATCGTTGTTCGATGTTGACGTTGTAGCGAGTGATGTCGCGTCATCAACATACGGTCAATAACACCCACACGCGCACACCCCCCCCCCCTCGCGCGGGAAATGGCCTTCATGTTCATGCACACTGTCATCTACAGCATGCAGAGGCAAACGCCGGGGGTGGATATTCATTCTATAAGGATGTCTGTCGTACATGTGAAACCCAATCCGCCCGAGTTGAGCGCCAGAAAATTAATAGAGTTTGTCAGTTGGGTAGCATTTGGAAGGGAGCAGCCGTTGCTTTTCCGTGTTACAAACCTGGAAGCTAAGGCTCCGGCGATAGGAGCCCCATCATTGATATTGGATAGACAATTAATTTTTGTAACGCGTTGATGTCAGTCATCTCAATGTCTCGTGTCTTGCACAGAGGGAATAATTTGATCCCTGGTAAGTGGTCTTGATGACGTTGAGGATTTGTTTTGGGTGCTTGATATTATCACCGAGATCAATGTCTATCATGTTGCGGAATTATGAGTGACCGTGGTACAAGGCCGTCATACCACGAGATATTTCCAACACGTAACGTCACAAGCTCTTCAATCCCGAACAAGCACCCAGGGCTCACACAGACGCCGAGAAAGGCCTGAAGCCCGGCATTGTGGCCGATCGTTCCCACTTCCCGGTGATCAGACGAGGACTGCATATTGCTTTTGCCATAAACAATGCAACACTGCTGATGACATAACGGTTCTGGGAGTCCCGATAATCACAAGCAAAGTCTTGCCGCTGTCTCGAAAGGTAGAGTACACAGTGGCCTAGTCGCCCAGCATGCCAGCAAGAGAGAAAGATAGCGCTTGTCGATGGGACTCTTCGTATGAGGCTGGAAACTTACATGTCCCTCAGAAGTATCGTGTACAACAGGCTAGAGACTAGTGTCCTAGGAACACAGTATGTACACCCCACCACCATCTTGGAGGAGGGGCGATGCAGAGCCCCCGACTGTTGATCAGAGGCGACGACAGGCTACGCATGCCCAATCCGCAGCCGTTGCCCTTTCCTACCCACTCCAGCTCCGTGGGCTACTAAACTCTGACCGTCACAGCACAGCAAGCAAAGTGTTGTGCCCCGAGGAGGAGTGTGGGGACCTGGCGTCCCCTTGGTCATCGTAAGGGGCTCAGTGCCAGTGAGAGCTTCCTGACGCCTCTACCCCGGGTTTTTCGTTCGCCTGTACCGGGGTTCCCACTACGACCTGATATCAAATGGGGTAAGGAGTTGGTGCCAACCTTAGTGTGGACCCTGAATACGGGGGAGGGATCGGAGGATCGACAAGATCGTCCATCCCCTAGGCCGGGGGGCTGGAACAGCGTCGGGCTTCTAAGAGGAGGAGGCGCTCTTGATCCCTCTTCGCCTCCGATGTCGCGTGATATGATATCAACAAATCTGACATTTCAATTCGTCCCCCAGGGGCAGAGGGGGGATGCCGCAGCCCAAGGCTCGGCCCTACGTAGCCGCTGGGTAGCTGTCAGGCCAGCTCGACGTCATGGGGGATTGGGAATCCTTCTGCATGTGAATATTACGATGGGTTTGGACCTCACGCAGAGGCTTGGTCCTGTGGGTTCGAGGTTACAGCTACGAGAGTAAGATGGGAGAAATGATCACGAGGTAGAAGAGACAGAGGTCTAAATGATTGATGCAGATGATTTGTTTCCAAGTAGCAGCACCAATTTCTAGGGACACTGTACCAAGACGCAAAGCACAAATCCATCCAGTCTCACCTATCGCTGGAAGGGCGAGTTTCAGTTACCTCTGTTTACGAGTAGTTACCTAGGTAGCCTAGTTTTGTGATTTCTGTTGAGGGAGCGTGCTGATGCACTTTCTCTATCCCAACATTGTTGTGAACAAGATATAGAATCATCCTGAATCATACCTTTTGAACGTTGTCTATTTGTGCGGTTCCGAGGCCAAGGCAATCCAAGTTATGCTGTTGAACTGATGTGCGTGATTGAACGCAACTAGCACTTAAATACCTAGGTACATCTATATGTGGTATGCTTCATTTTGTGGATTTCAACATGGGCTTATCTCGGGCCAGTAGCGATCCAGGCAGTATAGTCAGAAGAGGCTTCTCAAAGTTTATCAATTGAATGTTGTTGGACGGGATATTGATCGTCAGCGACAGTGTCTACCTCTACTACCTGTGTTGGGCCATTTGAACGACTTTTGTGTCATTTCTGCAGTTTACCTCCCGGGAACAGTCGCTACTAGCAATATATGTTTCAGTGTGTTTATGATGAAGATTAAAAAGTCTCGTTAAACTTTGGGATTCCTATAGCACGCTTTTTATTCTTCATAGCCAAAAATAGTGATACGAAGCGGGCAGGGCCTTCCTGCAAGTCACCAAGCCGATTACAATGTTCGAATCTCTGAAAGGCAACAGTGCGCAGGCCGGAATAGATTTAGGGTTTGTGTTGGACTTTGTGGACCGGTCTTATTTACTAGACAAGTATCATCTCGATTCAGACTATTTATTGTAAAAGAAAACTCTCAGGGCTATCTTTTAGTTGACACCTTTAGACCCTTGCCCAGCGCCCTCCTACCCCGTGCCCATCTCTTGACTCCCTGAGCCGCTCAGAGCACCGTTATCAGTCACAATCAAGGTTACATCACTTCCTCTATGGTGACTTCGACTTTTCGCTCTCCTCCATTACCTCAAACTCTTCTCGAGTCAAGACCCAGATGCCGAATCGCTCCTGTTCTCCGCCATCCGAGCCGTTGACCCTTCGCGATCCGAGCCAAAAGATGTACTTATCGAACAAATCGTCGGGCGGTGGACCGCCATCGCCACCTTTGGCAATGAACTCCAGAAGGTTGCCTGACGCGGCTAGGGACAGAACATTTGCAATCGACGTGGGGCTCCCAGGCAAGACATCTGGGCTGGGTGACAACGCCCAAGAGATCAGCGTCAGGGCCAACACCACAGCAAGCAGGCCCTCGATGATGTAGGTTGACGTTGGATCTTGGATCACGCGACGATTGACGTTGGGGACCGTGATAACTGCGGGGTAACTAAGAGCATCGTTGGTCTGGTTGAGAGGCGTGGCAGCATAATTCGGCAGAGTGGCATCCGACCTTTCAGGTTTGGATCGATCATGGATGTGGATATGTTGTGTTTGTAAGATGCCGTACTGGAATTTGATTGCGTTTTCGACGTCCTGAATCCTTTTGGGGTCCCCAATGTCCTCAGGCGTCAGCGCGTAAGGCGAGGTAGTCAGCAAAGAGGCAAATGCGTCGAAAATCTGTGGCTGATAATCTTTGAATATGCTTCGGATATCAGCGTAATCAAACATCGAGAGAAGGCCAATATTAGTATCTATGTGTTCTCCGAAAGAGGTCTGCCGCAAAGAAGTCTCATCGACTTCCAGCGAATCTATTGCCAGTTCTGGTTCTCGAAATGTCATGTTGACATCCACGAGTTCCGCTGTAGGATTGCAGGCCACTGCTGAGGCGAATACTTCTGTTTGCTCTTGGTCTCCGGAGATATTGAAGTGACCCCAAACGAATACGAATGGCTTGCAGGAATGCCCATTTGTCGCAATCTTGTTCCCCGACAACAACCCGTACCCTCGGGTGTCCGAACGCCCCCCTCCTTTAAGTCCTGCCATGAACGAGGAATGTGATGGAGTGGTGCCTCCGATTGTAGTATCGAATATGACACTCAACGGGTTGTAGTTGGGCTTGTCGAATGCGCAAGTTTCACCGGTGAGTTTGACGACCAACGGATTGGAGACATTGGAAGTCTCAGCGGCCAAGCCGATTCCCCAAGATGGCGGATACATTTTAAAAAACTTATCTTTTGGATGGCCCAACCATAGTGCAGAGTTAATCTCGGAGGAGCCGTACGGTCTGCACGAGAGAGAGGAGCGAATCGCTGGTACTCGAGCCTTGATAGGGGTGTCGGTCAAATTGAAACCATTCGAGGAGTCAGGAGCGTTTAACCTGAACTCAGGAAACGCTAAATTTTCCCACGTGAAGGCTGGGTAGGTCATATTTTCCTGGAGAATTTGGAAGGCAAGGGTAGTCGGCAATTTTCCCGCTACCACGCCCGCCAACATCTGCGCCTCGCCACCTATTGGCCAGCTCGTTGAGAACGAGCCCGTTGTGAGAACTGATGCCGTCAAATGTTTCGGAAAGTATTTGGCCTGAAACAAAGCCGGGGAAAAGATGGTGAACCAGGGCGCCAGCATGGCCGCAGTTGCAGCAGTTGCCGCAGCCACAGAACCGAGTCGCGCCGCACGGAAAGTTGAGACTGGCAGGAGTTCACCAAGGAGGTTCGATCCCATCGATCCATTGAACCTCGCACTTCGCGCCATGTTCCAGTACGGGGAAAGACATACAGCGGCCGTGGCCATCCATTTCAGAGTCAATGAGACTCCCGAGAAGACCACTGCCGGCAGTGAGGTCCACAAGAATTGCAAATGCGAGTTCCATGCTGCTTCTCCGAGGCCTAGATTTGCTTCGGATTCCTTCAAGGTTACTCTTAACATAACCATGATGGCCAGGGTTGCAAGGGATGCAAAGAATCGCGTGTAAGGTCGTAGAATAAAGGGAACTTTGGCTCGTTTTCGCCCGTGAACATCATCTTGGAGTTTGTGGTAGTTGTAAGATTGATCCTCGGATATCGCCTGGAAACTGGATGCGGTTCTTGTTCTATGGCGCAGAGTTGGCTCAGCAAGATACGGCAATTTTCTCAATACTTGTGGCGAACTATCCGGGCTGAGGGACCCATAAACTGGCATTTCTAGCCCGGAATATGCGCCACTGATGTGGGAGAAGTCTTTCACCATCCCGTACGGGATACTGGGATTGAACGACAGCGATATCTTTCTTTGAGGTAGCGTCCCGATGGCTAGGCTCGCAAGTCCGGCAATAACGAGGAGGCCGGCAATGATGTGACAAATCCACGGAGAAACGAGCAGGCGGTTCTCCAATAGCAAGGCTGTGCCTTGCCTTGTTTCGTTGCAGGATCTCATGAGGAGCGCCGGAGCAAGTTGCGCTGCATGCTTCTGATAGTATGAAACAAGCGTTGCCTCAAGAGTGGCGCTGTCGAACATGGAGTCGGCGTGCTGCTTTGTGGCGCCCCCAATGCCAAAGACAAAATACGTCCAGGCGTCTGATATCACCTCTGGGCCAACCATATCAACTTTATGTATGATCGTAGGCAGACTGCCCCACACGTGGGACTTCATAGACGTAATGATGGTGTCCATAATGGTCCAGGGGTGGAGGCTTTCCAAGGGCCGGGAAGATGAGTTCTCGTTCACCTGAACGATGGGATCCGAAGTACCAATTCTCCGAATATCAAGATCATGCATCAAGTGAACTGGAGTGCATATTAATGCATTAGACCTTAACAGCCGGATTTCCTCAGGTATGTGGGAAGAATAGCAGTGCTCGGCCTGGCTGAAGTCGCCAAAGATGGCATCAACAACTCCGAATATCGAGAAGAGACGCTGCGTTTCGAGTGATCCGGCTCCTTGGCAAGTGTCGTTGAACAAAGTACTGAAACGGACCGGTCCTGTCCTGCCGCCTCCATACCAAGTCCTTGCTTCATTTGTGTAGACCCCCACGCAATCCCCACTCGACAAGCTGATATTCATTGTGATCCAAGGCATTCCGCACGGGTACACGGCATCGACCACACCTTCAGGGAGATAATCCTGATTCAGGTGGTATCGCATTTCTGCGACCGCAGGTTCGCATGCAAGATTGGCAGAAAACCCAGTGACTGTGGTGTGTATCTCTGTACCGACTGCTGCGTCGGTCTCGAAAGTCTCCCACGCGTAGAGGTCCGAAGTTCCATCTGGGAATGGGCGGTATCCACCTTTGATCTCCATCAAAGTATCGTCTAACATCCCTAATATTTCGTTTGGAGGAACTTTGACCGTCTCGTTCCCATCTATGAACTTCCTTGTTATTCTCGTTGGGTACGACGTGTCTGTGACTTTGATTAAATCCAGATTGATTAAACCAGTCGAGAGCACGATGACTAGTCGAATCAATAGGCCGACCGAGAGGCTGATTGAGACTACCCAATCATGATTTTTGAGCGAGTTGAAGATTGCCGCTGGTGTAATCATGTTCAAGTAGTCGAGAAAGATGGAATCTTTGGCCTTCGTGGGTGCTAGGATGAGTCTGTACCAAGGTGCAACTAGTTGGGCCTGAAAAGCAACCATGCCCCATCCTGCCGAGACGAGGGCGAGTAGAGCTGTTGGCCCATAAGTCCATAAATAGCGCATTTCTTCCTTGCTTGTTGCCAGTCCGTCGTTTTTGCGGGATATGACCAAGAGAGCCTCGACAAGGGCAGCCATAATAAAGAAAACACACATTGCAGCTGCCTGGACTCTTGTTTGGAGATATAAGGGCCGCCATCTTGTCTCGACAGAGGATGCTGACGACTGCGGCCGCGAAGTGGTGCTTGATAGAAGCGTCGCTTGCGGGTCGTCTGACTCCTCCGTAAGAATCTCGCTGGAATCCCGATGCTCAACGAGGGACGGTGTCGAATACATGGCCTTGATGTGGCTGGAATCGGCAGGGCTCGACGAGAAGTCTTGAACAATCACACCCCGGCTGTCAACGATATCGAGCGGGTCCGCAGCCACTGTCTTGGCTTCGTAGCTGTCTTCGGTTTTCCCTGCTGGGATCTCATCCAACTCAAGAGGGGCATCATCGGATGAACCAACGGCGCGATGGGCAGCTGGGATCTTGGGCTCACTTAGAAACTGGAATGAGTCCATGTTTGCGTCTGACACAATGGTCGCCCTAGGGCTACTTGGTTGGTCACCGAACGAGAAGTCGACAAGGGTATCATGGGAAGATGTCGTGCTTGGGTATCTGGGTGCCTCGAGATGGTTGGAACTCCTTCTAGCCTTTGAAATTTCTCCTCTGTGGTTCTGCACTTGAATTTGACCATGAAACGAGTTTTGTGCGCCATGGAATAAGAGTCTAAGTTATGAAGATGCCAAATACCTACACAAGCCTGGAAGTAGGTACGCTCACAAGGACAAGGTCGGGTGCGGGCAGGCGCAAACTTTCGATGCATTGGATAGAAGTGAGGGGCTGGTTAGCTTTTCATTAGCCACCTATCACGGCTCTGCAATCCGGATACTGCTGCCTGCGTTTCAGGTAAGCCGTAGTCTAGTTTGGGCGAGGATGAAATAACTTGAAGGGGCGAGGCTGTCAGCTTTATTTCAGTGACATCATAATAACCTTCTCATTCGAGAGTTATCACCACACTCGGCACAACCTCCGCGGTATCCATGGGGGCCGTGACGAGAGACAACAGCAGCTGCTAGTCAAATGAGCGGGGGTAAATACTTCCAAACTAGGAACCAACTTGATGAATGCAGGCAGAATAACTTTCGTCCACCGAGCCAAGTTCTTATCTTCCCAAGACGTACAAATGCAGTCACTCATGCAGTGTGCCGCTCGCCAAGGTGCTAGGCTCTTATAGCTTAGAACTTGAAGCTGTAAAGAACCTTGGAAGTTGTTGTACTACCTGGGTAGCTGGAGGTGGCGGACCGCGTCTCCGAAGATTAGTACTTGTGTTCATTCTTAATTACCCCCTAAGAAGAAGCACTTAAAATCGATATTACTAATAGAGTATTATCGAAATTCTTTAAAAATATTTTAAGAGTATATTCTTTCTAGTATTTATATTAGTAATAATTAACTATTTATTTTAAAATCCTTTATTTTAATTTTATTTAAAAATATTTATTTATAAAATAAAATAAAATAAAATAATTATTTATTTATAATATACTTCTACTTCTTATTAAGTTTATAAACTATTTATACTTTATATTAAAGTTATAAATATATTTATAACTAAGATTACTAGTATCTTATCTAAGTTATAAACCTAATATATATATGCTGGATAAGGTCTTTCTTTCTGTCCTATTGTTGCTATCCTGGACTTCCTGAGCCCTACTTGAGTCGGGCCCTGGTGCCAACGCCTTTGGGCTAGGATGTTCATGACTTGACGGCCCCGGCCAGATGGATGTTGCTGGTTTGAAACCTTTTCTTCGAGATGGTAAAGTCGGTGGGACTACTAGGACTCTTAGTCACCACATGGTCGCCCTTGCAATCAGTGGTGTTGTGCCCAAACTCAAAGAGCCTCGAAATGCTTCTTCGAAGTGGACCTGAGTGGGCGAAGCTTGGTAACACTCGAAGTCAGGCGATGTGTTAGGGGCGTAAATCCAGGCGTCTATGCGAATATTGGCCTCAGTGTGTTCCGAGCCCTGACTTGCTAATCTTGCGTAGCAAAGAGTTGAATGTTTCTTGAAAATTACTATTAGGTGGTGATAGCTGCCTGTCGGGACTAGCGCGCATAGTTCATGGGCACAGTTTGCTCTTGGGGATAGACGTGACTCTGATTAATCCGATTGTGGGGGACTTGAATGCCGATGGACTCGTGATCAGTGGCCGATCTTAAATGCCGGTACACAAACCCCGGCGCTTCCACCCAATTGAATCGTAGCTGCCATGCTGAAGGTGTCGCAAAGACAGGCTTGTGAGTGGGAGACGCCTGCTCTGAGATATGACCGGCCCTGAACGTTCCACAACATAGACCGGAGTACGATGATGATTATCGTTGACGGAGGATAACTAGCTCGCGTCTCCTAGAAGTGGTTTTGCTTTTAGTCCCCATATATATAAAATGTATATAGTGCTAATAATAGTGGAATGAGAATACAGTACGTATGCACGTGGCTCAGCCTCACCGCACAGACAAGGCTCATGTGCTGGAAGGCATCGCCCCTGACGGCGCCGCTTACTAGAATCGTCGACACAAGTAGCCTAAGGGCTAATAGCCGGCAAAGTAGTCATGCGGCGAGACTAAAATAGTCTCAAAATGGCCCCTATAAGAAGAAGAATCCCACAACGTGAGACCCAGCAAGCTGGCTCTTCCCGTCTCCTAGAACCTTGTGGAAAAGGCATTGGGCAATTACCAACGAGGCCGAAACTATAAAGGACGGGTCACAGTCATCTCCTTACGAGGTCGAAAACTTTTCATTCTCTGTTCGTCTATTCCCCATGCAATCTTTTAATCCCACTTCTAGGCTTCCGAAGTTCTTCATTGGGCATCAAACCTCTTGCTTACTTTGTGCAACGTTCCACTCAGTCTTTGACCATGACTTCCAGATGGTCTGATAAAACGACCGTCGTCTCTGAAGCAAGAAATACTGCGTACGATCATGGAAGAACTTACAAGGAGGTCGAAATTACCCACGGGGTGGTGAATCCGTTGTACCGAACAGTCAAGAGGGACGGCAGGTTGAGGAAGAGAACAGCCATTGTTGTGATCGTTCGAGACGATAGCATTACTGCACTCGAGAAGACCTTCAAGAGGCCATGGTGGAAGTTTTGGAAAGGTATGGTCTGCTTCAAAGGGCATCCTGAATGCATCTAACAAGTCCGGGGCTCCGCCCCAACCACAGGTTCCGCGCGTATATCCGTCACCTGTAGCCGTCAGCTCCAAGACAGCCTAGATGATGCAGTGAACGATCCCCGTACCAATAGGATAATCATGGTCGCCAGTGACGAAGTCTCTGAGATCGACTTCAACGTTAACCCAAGGAGGATCTCGTCCCTCTTCATCCGCCGCTGCAATAACAAGCAAACGTCAGGCGACATGCTGCTGATCAATGGCTCTGCGACCTTCCACAACACCCACCTTGATGCCTGGAGCGCGAGACCTCACCGTGGCAAGCTTTATCTCGGAAAGAGGGTCTACATTAAGGTCCGGCCTAATCAGATCCCTTCATGGGCAGGCTCGACCGATGGGCTGTCTACTGCAGAGCGGGACAGGATACTATCCTACATAAGGTCGATGAATGAGACCAGGATGGAGGGGACGTGGTGGGAGCAGTGGAGGGGATACATTGCTGGAATTCTCGCCGTTGCTGTCGCTAGGACAAAGCTAAATGCTGGCCTATCTGCGACCGCCAAGGGCCTTTTTGTAAGTTTCAAGTTCCTCGGAGCAGGAGGCAAGGCTGCGTTCTGGAACGCCGGACTGAAGGCTTTTGGGTCCGCAGCTGGTCCTGCGATTCTTCTTGGGAGTGTCGTCGGCGCTGCTGTCTACTTTATTCCCTGGACCGACATCTTGTCGTGGCTGGCTGGTAAAGCCCGATCCTTCGAGACATGGATTTCAGAGGTCTGGGCCAAGCTGCACAACTGGTGCATTGGGAGACAGGAAACCTCTGGACTTGGACACGATGGGGTACCCCCCGGTGGATCTTCTGCGGCTCATGGTTCTGGATTTGTTGGTGCACGCGGCTTTCAGTCCTTCCCGATGATGGCCTGAGCTACTGAAAATTGTGGCAGAGGCAAGAAATTTCTATACACTGTGTCGAGGCTTCAATTATCTGCATTGGGTTTGGTCATCTCCCGTCATTACCTTCAGAATTCCGAGCATTGCGCGCTGGAAATACCTAAGCACTTTTGAGCCGCCGACCTGCCCATCTGCACACAGCGGCTGCGTTTCAAACGAGTTCCTACAACTTCATCATGAATGACTTTCGAAGATTTGTTGAACCAGGTAAATTCCAAGGTTTTAGCTTCGAAATAACACTGGGCATCTTTTACTGCTGACTGCAGCTCCTTGGCCCGATTGCCCATCATTCATAAACCTCTACCAGTCAGAACATCATTCAAATTCCCGCCAGAAGTCGCACCGCTGTTTAAGAACCAGCTTTTAAATGCGGGCCGCTGTGGTCGATGATGATGCTACTATGTTTCAACTGGAACTCGTCGACCCACCTTCGACCCTAGGGTCCGCCTTCTTGCCCTCCGCCCAGCTTTCCGGCCTCACCAGGCGCCAGCTCAAAGTCAGAGCACCAAAGTGCCTTGGCGATCTTCAACCTCATCCCCAACCATGTCACAGGATTCCTAGCGCAGATTCGATCACCGGCGGAAAGCGGCATAAAGGCTCGCCTATTTGCTCTGGGCATGTTCCAAAGTTCTGCTGGTAGCTTGCCTCTGTGCTGTTAGCAGTTGAATCCTGTTCGCTAGCATCCGGGCCGGTGATATTCGAACACGCAGCCCCTCAAGTCCCTTTCAGTCCCCGGTGTTCACGACGGTGAGGTCCAGACAGCTAAGTGTGTGCAACAGAAGTCGACAGTGTTTGAGCTCCAGGCGCCAGCCAGTAACTACATGACGGCCAATCCGCACCAAGGAGCGGGTACATCCGTTTGACTTTGTGGTTGTTTCATTAGAAAGTGACGTACCAAAGCTGCAGCAGCAGTCGAATCCCACCGTTCCACCCAGTATCACTCGGTATATGGACCTCGATGTGTACATTACACGTTTGGAACCATCTGTGGCTCTTGTGATTTTATGCAAGAATCCATAGACGATATGGAAGCAGTGTCCTCCCCGCTGTGGATGGCAAACGTGTCGAAAGTGTCTGCAGCTGGCAGACATTGATGGCCTCCATCTTCAGAGGACTCCTGGAGTGGTTCCTTGACCCTGTCCCTGTGAATGGGGCTCCCCGGTCTGCACTGAATGTCAGAGTGACTGTTAGTATTGTCGGTCACTCGAGCTTGAGTGGATGGCTGCGATAATGGCCGTTGAAATACACGCATACAGGCCTGCCATGATGTGGTGATTCGCGAAACGATGAGTTTGTTTTCAAAGATCTTGGGTAAAGCTGGCACACAGAATACAAGGAATACACCAGTGATCTCTGACAGGGCCCATAGAAGGCCTTGAGAGCATTGATTAGACATATTGGAAGGTATGTTGGTGCCTATGGGGTAGTCCATCGTTAAAACGGTGTATAGACGGCCACCTGCAGCCGCAACGACTCTGTCATGCACAAGCCTCAGTACCATATTATGACTCGGATTTAGATGGTGCAGGACATACAGTAACCCAACCGAGAAGATTATAGCAACGCCAACCTTGCGACGCGTGTTCATTTGAAGGGAGAATATGATCCTCTGCGGCAATGCAAGAATGAAAGCATCCATGGCAAGGTTGATCGTGGCGATAGCAATATGAATACCCTTGGTTTCAATGCACGTACCAGGTATCCAGAAATGCCACATTTTGTGCAGAGGTCGACAACTGCCAAACATGACAGCTATGCCGGCAATTTGAAATCCGACATTACTCAGCATGAGGATAACGCTGGTCCAGTAGAAGATGTTGCGTGTGCGGTGGGGAACGAATATCCGAATCCACTCCAGAAGAATTGCAGATTTCAGAAGAAGCAACAAGAGGGCGTAGGAGATTGCGCCCACGAGGGAAACCTGCAAGAAATTCCAATAAGTCAACAGAATTTCTAAAAGGTTGAAGAATCGGGGCAACCAGAATGCCATGCACATACGTAGCCGAGATCAATAAGAGCGGAACCAGGCAAATCCCACTGTTGCACCCCAAATCCAATGTGCCGCCCAAAGTAGAAAGACGCAGACACCAAGCCCGCATATGGTATCTACTTGGCGTCAGTGGATATAATATACAAATAGGTGGGGTTTCAAGTAACATACTATTGCAAGGATTCCAAGGCCTGGAAAGATGTGATACATAAGCATGAAATCCATTGAAGAGCTTAAAAGAACGACATACAATCCTCTATGTGAAATTGTTTGACAATGTGAATGCGCGAGTAGGCGCGAGCCAACGTAACGGTCGTTACAAGCACGATAGACAGAGCAATGAATGTGAAGACCTCATTATTCTTGTTGGGAGGATCGTCCAGATTGGATGTCTTTCCTTCAGGAACAGGACTAGAGGGACCTTTGAGGTATTCTTGGACTTCTTCGGGAATACTCATGGCTTCAACGTTATTATGGTGGACTCAAATGTGGTGTGACGTGACTCGAAGGGAAAACTGCGGAGGATTACATCGATCAGCCTGTGGACAAATCCAATACTTCTCAGTCGCAACAGTCGAAGATATGCGTTGAGACAGAACAGGAACGAAGTTGACGAAAGCGGGTATACAGGCTCTATTTGTATCGGTTGGTTGTACGAGTACATGTAAAGAAAATACATTGTGTGCGTCAGATTGCTGCAGCATTTGAAAAGGCCGACACATATGCATGTCAGAGAGTGGCAGTGTATTACCGCTCGCTGCATTTTGGGGGCGATATCAGCAAAAGACCAGTCTCAGAGATATTAGGCCTCGGGAAATATGAGGCTGAGTTGGGTCGGGAGCCAATCAGTCTGCAGTCATCCATGGATGAGTACCTAGGTATTCGGTGTAAAGACTAATGCTGTGTGTCATCGTGTCTCAGTGCATCAGCCACACAACTGTGTTATGCCAGCCACGGAAGATGTGTCAGACAGGAGCCTGCTCCGGGCTCCTTGGTGAGCTTTTGAGTCTCCTCTATTTTTTCTACTCTGCTCTTGAACTTGCCCTACGTCTCTATCTTTAATAATACCTGGTCTGATTTCGTTTCTGTTCCGTGTACGTCCAAAGCCACACACCAGGAGTTATAGACTCGCCATCAGATATGCTTCCAGTGACTAATAATGCGGCCGTGCTTCATATCCCCACTCATTTCACGCACTTGCCAGCGGTTCATGCCAAGAAACTTGTCGTGTATTATACCCGTCGCGTAATTTTCGAAGGGAATGAGGACCGGGGAGACGCCATTCGCACATTGAAATCTCCAAAATTGATGTCAATTGAGATCCCACGTTGCATGCCAGGTATTTGACCACCCATCGGCTCTAGTATGCCGTGTGAATGCCGAGGGTCGCTTGCAGCTACACTGAGACGCAAAACACAGGACCATGAGTAAAACAAAATTCGCCCCACCACCGGCTCAATGGTCTAGTCGTATGATTCTTGCTTTGGGTTACCAGCTTACTGCAAGAGGCCCGTAAGTTCGAACCATGCCTACAGCATCCAAGTACCCTCATTAACACCCTTTCTAGCGGGTTCAAATCCCGGTTGAGCCCTGTCAACCAGCCAACCTTTTTTGTCTGTTTATATTTCGTTTTTTCTCATTCTTCGCGGCGCTACTTCCTCATTTGTATAACGGCTGTCATTTACAAGTCTCATTTCTTATCAAATACCAGTTGAGCCTGCTTGATCTGTATTTGTTATTATCGCCTCTCAGTGTCGTAACGTTCGAAGCAAGTTAATTTTGCCTGTCGTCCTACAGGGTGGTCGATGATCGGGTTCCGACACAGCCTAGGTAGTTAGACTATTTGCACTCAAACTACCTACGCAATGAAGGATTAACTCAAGATCAAGCTCAGTAATCATGTTTACAGCTACTTAGTTACTGCAATTGCTGGCAGCATTCATCAGTCAGGGTGGAGGATGATGAACCAGCTGTGACATATACCCGACGGCCGGCGACGCCGGCGAGGGGAACGACGGGAACGACGGGAACGACGTCGGACAGGCCGAGGTCGGACTTCAGGAGTGTCAGTCGGCCATCAAATATATCATTGAGTAAATAAAAACTGAATGCATGCTGGCGTGTGTGAGAGTCATTCTCAGTAGACGCTGAAATATTGTATACCCTAGGTATCATGCGACATGGTACCTAGTCTATGCGCGGGAAATCATAAGTTGTTTTGCGTACACATTTCCTCAACAAGAGGTCATCGAGGTCTTCGGAATTAGGAGCCCTTTTTTCCCCGGTTGGACAGACATTCCCGCAACCTTCTCCACTATTTTGCTGGCGACGTTGTGGACTCCAGGTCAGATGTGGGAATGCGAACATAGAGGAAGGTTATACCCAGTTTTCGCTTATGCATTCTCCATTACTCGACATGCATACCACGATTGCCGAGCAACGACGTCGATACGGTTAATAAGAAATATCCGAGGGCGACCTTAAAAAAGGGGCTTCGACGGGTCCGTGGAACTGGACCGGAGCTGCTTTGGGGAACTGTCCCCAGCTTGGCGTTTTGCTGCTGTCAAAACTGACTCACCCATCAACACGAGTACAAAGTTTATATCAGCCTCGCAGGGAGGCACCGCCTTCAAGAGGTCCACAGCGCCCCTGAGGGCTTGGCGAGACTTGGGATCTCCCTTGGCCTGGGTAGTCCGAAAAAGAGATGAACGCTGGTGGACATGACTATTGCTGCAAGTCGAGGTCCAAATGCCCAGCCCTAAGCCTCAAAACTCAATATACGGGCACTCACCCCCCGGCTCACGCTAGTCCATTTGGGCGAACATGCCTTCGTCGACGGACAATATGTCGGCTCCGAGTAAGGGATGATCACAGAAAGGCATCGCGAAGCTGAAGCATATAAGGTCAGTTGTGCTAGCACCACGGAAGCATCTTCAGAATTGTCATCATCATCAACCTCCTCAACAATCGCTTCATTGAATCACATTCGCTCACACAGTCTCACTCTATACATTCTTTACAGAGTCATTCAGTAATAGCACCAAAGACCTCAGTCAAAATGCAGACCTCCATCTTCTCCCTCCTCGCTGTCGCTGGCCTTGTTGCCGCCATGCCCGTAAGTTCTAATCTCCAAAGCTGTGCAGCAAACCGAAAACACAACTAACCTGCAACCAGCACCCCGATGGCACCCAGCCAACTCCCACCGCTCCCACCGGCACCACCGCCAGCTCGGCGCCCGAGGTGACCTGCAGCCCAGGCCCCGTGGTCGACTACACCGTTGCCTCCGGCGACACCCTGACCATCATCTCCCAGAAGCTGAACTCCGGCATCTGCAACATCGCCAAGGAGAACAACCTCGCCAACCCCAGCTTCATCCTCCTCGACCAGGTCCTCAAGGTCCCTACCTTCCCTTGCACCCCGGACAACATCTCGTGCATGGCCGAGCCATCCGACGACAACGACTGCGTCCCTAGCGGCGAGCCTACCTACACCATGGTTGCTGGGGACACTTTCTTCCTTGTTGCCTCGGGCTTGGGCTTGACTGTGGATGCCCTGCAGGCTGCCAACCCCGGTCTCGACCCTCTGCTGATCCCGATTGGCCAGGTCATCAACGTTCCTATTTGCAACTCGGAGCTGTAAAGTAATTCGGAGTGTTTACCCTGCTTCAGGAGGAATAAAATGGGATTGGGGATGACGTAACGCGAGAATCGTGCTTTCAAGAATTAGACCAACTAGAATAGACAAATGGAATGAACCGCAAGGGCTCTATTATGTTGACCAAGCTCTCAAGAATTGGATACCGATATTGGATTTGTTTGCTATGTTGTCATGAGGAAGGAAACTGTCCCAGACGGAAAGTTGGACGCCGTAGACGTTGCAACTTAAACATTAACACGTGTGGTTTCTCTTCTAATCCCCATACATATGAAACGTCTGCGGCGCCTTCACAAATTGTGCAAATCAACACAGTGTTATCATATAGTCAAAGTTCTGCTTGATTAACACACATATGAAATGACATCAGGGTGTAGCATTACATAGCAGACGAGAGCTACTGGCTCGTGAGCGCAGCTTCTTATAAGCTGCTAGGCATAATTAAGCTAGAGGCACGGTAAATTGAAATAATGATCAGGTGATAAAGACGAACGATTGAGGTCACCGAAAAGAAAAGGCTCTGCTCAACCAGTGACAACATGCTACCTGCTTGTCGGTATACCATGGAGAGACACTCTCTGAGCAAATAGGTACAGAACATTTGAACGGAGTTCACACCCGTGTACGGCTTTTCAAAAAGTGTCAGGCTCTGTCGCGAGCTCTTCTGATGTCCCAGGCCACCTTTCTTCTTGACTACCTAGGTACCTGTCCCCTAGTTATTGAGCAACCATTGCCAAACTGTCAGTACCAGCTGACTCATCATTGCTGTGGTGATAATTCACTTTGACCTAGATACTCAAGAACGTCCAAGTCGTGTGAAGGGATAATTCATTTGCTCGCCCTCGTGTAAAATTCACTTTTTAATCGATGCCCATAAAACTAAAAATTTCTCGCTTCGCATTTCTTCAACCTCGACACTTCCTTCTCTTCTTCCCAACCACCCGCTTTGGGAGTTGATTTCCTCAGAACTGTTGTCTTTTCTTCAAGCACAGTCGTCTCTCATCAAAATACCTACCACGAGACAATAAACTCAGTCGAGGGACTGTCTTCTCCTACAAACCTCTACCATACAACCATCCGTTCGTCAAACTTCAAAAGAACAACGAGGAGGAGCATCTTCATCATGGCGACCAATTCAGACACTCAGACCCATCAGCCAACACCTGGGGTGATCGCAACAATTGGTGTGATATACGGCTTCATGGCCTTCGTGACTGGTCAGTATCACCTTTCTTCTTACGGACACCCATTTGGCATTACAGGATCCGCAGCAGGACTAACCTCATCAGTAGTCGTCTTGATCGCCAGAAACATCTCCACCCTTCGCAACAAGGCTCTACGCAAGCTGCCAACACGCCTGCAAGACAACGCCTTCATCAAAGACACACTCCAGGCTCTCATGATCGTGGTCCCATCACTCCTCTGGCCATTGTTTCTCATAACGATCCTGTTCGCCATTGCCGATCCACGGTCAACAACCGAGGGCCAGCAAGTTCCTGATTTGGAGCGGGGAGATTTGAATTCAGACAGCGACAGCAGCAGCGACAGCAGCAGCGATAGTGGCATGGAATTCGACGAGCTACGACGGACAGAGACCGGCGACACTGACGACACCCTGGGCAGTCTGGAGCCAGCTCCACCATACATTCACAGCCCGCCATACGTTGCCAGGGCGCCCTCCATGCCCAGCGCGGCCTACATCCGCAGCCCGTCTAGACGAAACACCACAGAGTCTCCGCCAGCCTACGCGCCATACCCAACCGTCCTGTCCACAATACAGATCCAGTGGCCCGAGATGGCGGACCGGCACGCGGAGAGCTACATCCGTATCCTAAACGACGTTGACAGATGGATGCAACCAAGACAATGATCCAATCAATTATGGCCATGATGTTCTCCCGGCGGCGATAAGTGACCCGGCAATGGGAGGAGCTCCTGATCCAGTACGTTTTCGGGTAGCTTGAGAGGGTGGTTAGGTGTTTACGATGACATCTCCGAGGAGCGCCTGTCTGAGATAATCTTGGACGGAGGAACAGCTGGGGGAGGAAAATGCTCAACATGCGTTGCTTGTTGCGGATCGCCATGTACGAGCAATCACAGCCTGTACTTGGTCATGGGATAGTGTGGGAACTACTGTTGAGGAGGATGGAAAGCGGCAAACTATTCATGCAACGTTATCGGCCGCTTCTTGGATGGAAATTTTGATGCGCAATCTGCGCGAAAGCAAACACTGGAGGAAACATAGTCAGCCGCTCTTAAGGAGCAACTTCAGTGAAATCAATTAATTGCTGACTGCCAAAGTCATGGGATACTGGGTGACAAGGTTTCCAATACCCTCAAGTAGGGCCTTGTTCCTATTTCATGCTAAGACTGGAAGTATCGATGTTTCTGTAGACTCCTCGTGTCCTTGTAATGGTTTGTGTGCCTACAAACATACGTATCCACTCAACGGGTTGATGTCGGATTTCATCGCCTGTCACGTAGAACTCCACTACCTGAGCCGGTTTGCTTCTTCTCTGCACAATCAAAATCATCCCCGAAGCCACCGAGCTGATGCTTGCCACTATCACGATCCATAACGTCACTGCGTGCATCTGTTTCCTCGCCAACCTCAAGTCGCTGGCCGATACTCAGGTCAGCTGAAGCGACAGCGAGGTTCGGAGAGAATGGAATCTCGCCCTCGCCGCGACGCTCAACTGGGACGAAGACATCCATCATCCGCGGGAAGACAAGACCAAAGGCTATGATGAGCATTGCGATATGGGCGACGACGAAACCGAATATGTGCAGAGGGTCGTAGCGTACGGCTATGAATGCGGGGTATCCAAGGCTGAAGACAATGATAAGGATGGGCGCTGAGCAGTACCGGACGATGACACCCCAGTAAACGGGAATGGACCAGTTCTTGCCAGTGGCGACGACGAGGTTGAGGTCGCGAGTGAGTTGGAGACCCTACCCATGTTAGAGAACCTACAAGTGCGCAGATCGACACGAGCTCGACTCACCGAGTAAAAGCCCAAGTAGTATGTTTTCTCTAGCCATATGCTCTTCTTCCAGAAAGCAGGTGGCGCCGAGTCAGGACGCCTCGCCACCCAAAGCGAGATGGCAGCGCAGACGAAGAAGAGACCAAAGCCCGCCCCGGCCCCTGCGGCAGGCGAGGCTGTGTGACCAACAATTAACCCGAGTATCTGACCGCCAACGTACCCAACATTGAAGACTATATAAGACGGCCAGCCGAGAAGACCGACAATATCCTTGTGTCGATAGATGGTCGTAGCAGCAATACACTCGCACCACACCACGAAGAGCAGGGACATGTTGTTGATCCAAGTATCTACTGCGTCAAGCAAGTAGTATCCAAACTCGGTGCAGTAAATCAGGGAAAGTAGGAAGGATACGACCACGCTGATAGATGAGACGTAGATGCGATTCCAGTTTCTTGCAAACTCCCCATCCATGATCATAGTCACGAGCGTGTCCTGCAGGGCGAAAGCTGAGCTGAAACCCAGGACCATGATGGTGAAGAAGAACAGGAATGACCAAAACTGAGCACCAGGCATCTCAGCAACTCCGGCAGGGTAGGTTAGGAACGCGATGGAAAAGCTGCCAATGGGATCATCGCCAGGCTGCGGGAACTGCTGCAGGAAGCCGATGATCCCAAAGACGGCGAAGCATCCCACGATCTCGTAGAGAGAGTTGCAGATAACGATGATTAGCACGTCCTGGACCACGTTCTGGTGCTGGTTGTTGTACGACGCGTAGGAGGTGAAGTATCCCATACCCAGCCCGATCGAAAAGAAGATCTGGCCGCACGCCATCTGCCAGATGTACCGGTCTCCCAGAAGCTCCCCCCGCCAGGTGGCCATGTACAGTCTTATTCCATCGATGGCGTTTGGCAGGGACACCCCGCGGCCTAGCAGGATGAGCATTGTTACGACGGGGAGGCCCATGGTGAAGTAGACGACACGGCCTGTGATACCGACCCCCTTGTACATGCAAATCCCTGCTGTGTATCAGCACCTCGTCATTGGGACATATGGCGGAGAGTTGCTGCATTTTAAAACATCTGAAAGAAAAAAAAAGAACACTGAAAGAAGAGTTTAATGTGTAGAGACTTGTACTTACAGACAATAAACCATGTAAACGCGCACCAGCCAACGGTCTCACCGATGAGACCCGCGGCGGTGTACTCCGTATATCGCGCCACTGAGCCGTCTACGATCTCCCCAGGGTTGGGATCGGGGTTGGCGATGACCTCGTTGTAGTAGAAGTTGACATGATCACCCTGCCATGGGAGCGGGTTCGAGAAGGAGTGTCGGAAATAGGCCATTACCCAGGCGAGGATAGGGACATAGTAGGTGACCACCACGTAGCCGTTCCAAACCAGACCAAACCCGAGCCCTTTGAGCCGCTTGTTCATGTGGTCATATGCTATGACGCACCCACCACGGTAAGCCTGGCCGACTGCCATGGACGATGGTTAGGTTTACATTGAGCACGTAGTGACTCGCCGGACCCATTATCTAGGAGAGGATGGGACATACTCGCAATTTCGAGAATGAGAAGTGGTATCCCAAGGAACAACAAAGCCAACAAGTAAGGTATGAACCACTGGAGGCCGTAATTGTTGTATACTTGAGATGGGTATCGAAGCAAGTTTCCGATACCGACACAGCCGCCCATGGCCGCCAGAATAAAAGATGTCCGTGACGGCCATTGATCACGACCTGCTTCTGACTTTGGTGGATCGGGGGCAAGGAGCCTTGAGATTGTTCGTATGATTCGTCCCATGTCGTTTAGAAAGGTTGAAGTCGATATGCAGAAGTGTAAGGAGTGTTTTGAGGAAGCAGAAACTGGAGGGGGAACCCTGTAGCCACGTGCCGAGGATCACCAGTAAAAATATATATGCGAGTGCCCTCTTATCCTCCTCTCATTGATGTAAAGATCGTTCCCACCGAACAAGGATGAGTTCCCTGGTGAATATCAACGGAGGCCCCGAAGGCCAAGGTCAGCAGGACGTAGGTCAAGCCTTCCTTATCAAACGATACAGAACGAGATTATCCTGTGCACCACTAAGAGCAAAGAATTGTGGCCCGCCACGATTACTTTTGCTCTCCTAAGACTATCTGGGAGCAGCCAAGAATTTGGCATTTGCTATGTGGTGATAATCACGTGGATCGATCTTGTTAGGACTGTGACCCCGCATACACAGGAAGCTTGGTGGCCTCTTGGTATGGTGGCGTACCTGTGGGATTATACCATCGGAAAGCATGATCCCAGGCCCGGTGAGGATGTACACTTGCGTCCCCTGCGGCTTTGTTTGGAAAGAGAAGGAGACCGCGGTCTAGAAAGCGGACAGAACTCCAAGCCATCTCGTATCACGAAATGTGCGTTACCCACGCCGCGGTCCTGCAAACTGCATGCCTTGGCGCCCAGATAATGCCGTACTAGTTATCATTGGCCACGCCACCAAGGATTCCGCAGAGGCTGAGAGGTAACAGAGGGCAATGATCACAATCGCGGCTCATTTTGACGCCAGATTCGGCAGGAGGACACGCCTGGCGTTCGCCTTACCGCTTGTGTTGCTTCCTATTGGAAGAGCGGCTCGTAAGCTTCACAACGCGACCAGTTGTCTGTACCTACCTACCTTGTAGGTACTGATGTCATCGCCAGGAGCTTGTCAAGCCTCGGTGACCAACTCCAAGTTAGCCAAGGTTCTCGGTTACCTTGGCTAGGGGGCGATGAGTGCCGAATTCCATTGTTACTGCGCTCTGTATGAACTTTACATCGCCAAATACGCGATGGAACCAATATATGCGCATCTTGTAAGGTAGGGCAAAAGATGTCCACATATGACTGGTCTCTCGTACAAGAGCCAATTTGACTCACGCGTCTACAGGTTGCCAAGTTGGTCGCGCTTCCTATGCCGAGTCTCAGGTCTACTCTAGTAAATGAGCTCGTAGCATGCTAAGCTGCAATTCTCATGCATTCTGCGTTTTCTACGAGATGCTGCAGACAAATGATGACCAGTCGTCGGTGTTTCCGCCAACGTACTCGGCAGTGCTTGGCCAGGGACATGCTTTCCGAGTCATATTGCCGCCATCAGGTGGGTTGCTGAAGAGCATGTCCCGAGGCGCCTCCCCCGTCTCGACCCACTCGACGAGCTTCTCCAGCGAATGTGGCCTCTGTGGTGTCGACTTGTGGCTCAGCGTTCCCTCACAGTGACCGCCGCCTAGATGCAGTGGGTTAGTAATAGCCAAACTAAGCCATGAAATATCATCAGGAGGAACACGTACCGGGCAGCATAAACAGGGAGAACCAGTCCGAGACATCACCTCCCATGGCATCCTCCAACTGCTGCTTGTGGTCAATCGGCCACGTCGCCGCATTGTACGGGTCGGCCCAGCCCTGCGTCACCAGGAGTTTGCCGCCCCTGGCGCGGAAGGCCGATAGGTCCGGGCTGATCTCGTCGATGAGGGTCCCCACGCGCTGGTCGATCAGCGCGACATCTGTGTCCCAGTCGAAAGAGTTGACGTCGTAGGTGAGGTTGTCAAAGACCACGTTCTGCAGGATCGAGGCGGTGAAAGAGTCGGACAGTGACCCGGATGTCTGCTGGATGAGCTCGTTCTCGCTGCCGAATGCGAAGCCTGGGTAGAGGCTGTGTCCGGTGGAGTTGCGCGGGCCGTCGTATATCTTCTGGAAGGCGGCGACCTGCGATTGTGAGAGGCATTGTCTTGCGTTGGCAGCTGTGGGATCGCATGCCAGCGTGGTGATGTCGAAGTCGCAGGTCAAGGGGTTTTCGATGAGACCATCCTTGACACCATCAAGTTCGTCGCAGTGGGCCAACACGGCGCTTTCGATGAAGTCGAGGATCGCTTGGCCACCGGTTTCGTCTTCCAAGCCTGTGCCCTGCGTTCCATACGCTGTCAGTTTTGTGGGTGAGACGCTTGCCATCGGCTTGGGGATTTACTTCAGAGGCCTGTGCATTCCACAGGAACGACAGAGTAAGATGAGAGTACCAATTTCCGGGACACCCGGCCACAATTCCGTCAAACAGCTCTGGGTGATACTGCGCCAGCGCGAAGGCTTGAGCACCGCCCGTAGAGCACCCTTTGTAGTAGCTATACTTCGGAGCACTCTCGTAGTAGGCCTCGACAATTGTTCTGGCAGGAGGTGTGAAGTAGGCAATCGAGTTGTGGATCCAGGCGAGGATTTGGTCTTGGTCATGCAAGTACGGGATGTAAACCCCGTTGTTGTCCGCAGCTCGGTGTCCGCTGTCTCCCCCGGCAACCGCATATCCGCTGTTCAGGTTCTCCACAAGTGCAGCTTCGTCAATTGTGCCTGCCATTCCTCCATTTCCTGGAAAGTCGGTCAGTCCGTGTGTTTGGAGATGAATTTGCTGATCAGCTCTTACCAACAGCGAGGAATCTGCCATTGTACGCAGTTTCTTCGGGCAGCCAGGCTTCGAAAACGACATAGTTGTTTGAAGAGTAGGATACCTTGCCGGTCACTTCACAAAATGCCGCTGTGTTGAGGGTCCCTGACACATTCTTGGCTCCTGCCGGGATCCAGGTTGAGTTCGTCAGGACTGTTCCGTTGAGGCCCAGAGACCCCGAGTTCTCGGCAAGGGCAGTGCAAGGAGCCTCATCCGCTGCCACAGCCGTTGCGAAGACGGAAATCAACAAGAGGAACCACATGGTTGGAATTTGGCAGCTGGAATGAATCTTCCCGTCGGTCAACTGGTGAAGTCCTCGCGTCATCAAACCCCGTGGGGCGTTGGTTCCTCTTTTTATAGTCTACTACATTATAATACCACTCTGCGCAGTATGACGCCGATGTCCCACTTCCCCAATACTGGTACAAAATGGCCCGGTGTGGAGGTGGATACACACAACGGCCCGAATCACTGTTCGCGTGGGGTCGGGAATTCCGGAATGGAGAGCACTGATCCTTCCAAGTCATGTGCCCGATACTGTATTCTCTTTCCACTGTTATTGGCACTGTATTTCTTCAGACGCTGGGTCTTGAGCGTTTACCACTGTATGAAGGCGCCACGTACATTTTACATGTATGGGGATTAAAAACGAAACCACTCATGTGCCCGACCATATTATTTTGTCATTGAAGGCAAGCTGAGCTGATTCTGCCCCTGTTAATCCCACCAATGGCAACCAACATCCCCACTACGTCGGGTCAATTACTGGAGATATCCACGAGACAATTCGTGACTGCTGCGCGAAGCGAACATTTCAATCATCAAGCCCGGCGAGTGTAGTTTCGAGAGCGGAGGCACCGGGATCGGCTTCCCCGAGCTCTCGCGTGACAACACGCTATGGTCCTTCAGATCTTTTTACTGATGGGTACGCTCTCAACCTATCACTGTATCTGGAGTCTTAGTCGACTAATACTTCTCTTCCCGCGTGCCCCTTGGGATGAGACCATGCCAACTATGTTGCAAAATGCCATATCCGCCCCCTACTACGCTGGGGCTTAGGGTAAGAATTGGAACCTGCGTTGCACCAGCTGCGAAATCTTGGGTCTACTAGGTACCGGCTTTGAGGATCACTGCTGCATTGGCATAGCTGCGACATTACGAGGTAGTAACTGCTAGATTCCAAGCTATGAGGCAACTTGGAATTGTGGTCTTTTGGCCGGGGCGTCTGTGGCGTGGCAGTCCACGGGTCCATCCCAATAGCATTGACTGAGATACAACTTACACGATCGAAGGGGCGCATTCGTTCATACTACTTAATACACACACAAGGAGTTGTCTTTGTTGTCGGTTCTAAGTGAATTGCGCATCGCAAATGCCACCTGTGCGAACAGCTCTGATAGCATGCGAAATAGACATGCCTAGGTAGCTTTTTGGTCCGAGTGTTTTCAAAAACACTAAGACCCACAAGCAAGATATTGAAAAGTAAAGCTAATCGTATGTTTAAAGTATGATCATGAGACATTAAATCTATATCTTTCGTAGGTTCTATGTATTTATTCTTTTGCAACCCGTACCTTCATCATGGAGCATAAGTGAACAGGCTCGCCAGCTGCTCAGAGGAATACTCAGCATTCAGCGCGAGCTGGAGCATAATGCGCGCCTTCTCAGGGTTCAAGTCCCAGCCACCGTACGTGTTCAGCTCGTCGCTCGCCTCGACAAACCCGCCCTTGGTCCGGCTCGAAACAACAATCTGCGTGCCATGCTCCTCCGCCAGCGTCTTAAGCACGGCCTGGCCGGGGTCCGTCCACCCACCAGCACCCATGCCAGCCAGCACGAGGCCCTTGGCGCCGGCCTCGACGGCGGCGGTCGCGAGGGCGGGCTGCAGGGCCTGGTGGCCGTAGAGGATGTCGACCTCGGGCAGCTCCGTGGTCCCGGTGACGTTGAAGTAGGTGCGGCCCAGCGGCAGGGCGGGCGGGTAGTAGAAGACGGGCTTGATGTCGAGGAAGAAGCCGAGGTAGCCCTGCTCGACGGCCTTGAACGTGTCGAGGGAGTTGGAGTGTGTCTTGGTCGTGTAGAAGGCGGAGCCGATGCGGTCGTTGAGAACGATCATGGCCCCGCGGTTCTTGGCGGCCTCGCTTCCGGCCAGAGTAACGGCCTCGAGGAGGTTGATGGGCCCGTCGGCGCTGATGGCTGTCGCGGGACGCATGGCCCCGACCACCACGATGGGCTTCTCAGACTCGACGGTCATGTCCAGGAAGAAAGCAGTCTCCTCGAGCGTGTCCGTGCCGTGTGTGACCACGGCCCCCTGGCAGTACGGGTCGTCGAGAGCCTCCTGCACCAACCGAGTCAGGTTGAGCAGGATCTCCGGTGTTATGCTCCCAGAGGGGACATTGGCGACCTGAACGCCCTTCACATTGGACACGTTCCAGAGCTCCGGGACGGCGTCGATGAGGATGTCGACGCCCAGAGCGCCGGCCTGGTAGCCAGTTGTCTGCGCGTTCGACGCGGCGGAGCCAGCAATGGTACCACCGGTGGCGAAGATCGTGATGTTTGGCAGACTGGCGTTGAAGTGCGTCGTCTCCCGGGGAGAAAGCTGATGTGCTGGGAAAGGAGAGCCAGTGAGTGGCATCGGGGCTGCGATGCTCACAGCGAGTTGGCATGCGGCCACGAAAAGGGTGCGGGCCTGCATCTTGGCTTACTGCTCTGCTTCGAACTTTTCGGGAAGGAATTCACTTGAAGCAGGCAGAAGTGGATTGTGGAGTGAATCGTCTGACCTCAAGCTGCCAGTGTTCGACCGGGAAATGTTTTCCGCAGGATATTTGTCACATCTTATACTCGTAGTCGTCTCTAGTTACTTATTACATACATGTGCTGGATGCCGGCGTCCCGGCCTGAATACTTCATGGCGATAAGACCCATCAACGCAAGCCACAATATGGGTATGCTTTAGGTCCACAGAACTATCGCGAAAAAGTCGCGCCCGATCTCGATAATACCGCACTACAGGTCTTGGACAACGCTGTAGTTCATGGCAAGTCCGGAGCATCATCCTCGCTCGTCGTCCATATCTAGGCGGCTCTGCCCAATCGCACGTGGGTGGCATCCGGACCCGTCGAAGCTAAAGATGGACCCACGCACTACGGCCGGTATTTGTCGTGCTTATCAGTAAGCCCTGGGGGAAGACCAAGTGCCGTCGGCAGTGACGGGATCCCGATCTCGCATCCTAATGGAATTGCGCATAAATAATGTACATTTATAGTGGGAAAAAGCCGAGAGATATCAGTCTATTACGCGCATAGATTTGTACACATCTAGATTGCCCTTGGCACGCCTGATTCAATTTTGTCATCAAATGCAGCGGGGGTGTGTGTCTGTGTAGTCTTGAAGTCACCAATAAGCAGCGTCAAAAAATTGTACATAGTGTCTTCTGAAGCATTAGTAGTGTGAACAAGATCAGACGCTGAGGTGCGGGCGCTTGGCAAGTGATTCTACGCATATGCGCGTGGCGGCTAAAGTGACCAAGCAGGCACCTGGACATTTACGGTGGAACATTACTCCAACTATACCGCTTCATTGTGTGTCTTGTTCTAAAATGAAAACAAAGGAGTCTTGAAGAAGACGACGACGAGCATTTGGGAACATTTCTATTGCCGGAGAATATGCGATCAATTTGCACGAAAGCTCATTACCCTCCTAGGTAGCCAGCCAGCCATCACTGGCACTCAATTCTGTGATTGACTGCCTATATACCAGAGCCTGGAATTGGCTCTACACGTATCTTATCAAATTATATAGAAACGGAGCCCGAGATACCTTCAAGTTCTTCTGAGCCCACACACTTCAAGTCGTGTCTTGCAGTCCTTGTGAGTTGTGGATCAACTCTTGGCCAACACTCAGCCCCTGCCAGTTGCCTGATTTGGCCTCATCCAGGCAACCGCTACTGCGAGGCAAACAATTAGAATCTTGTACGTGTTAAATTTGGTAGATATCCTCGACAGCAGGTAGACGTATCCAGCCTGTTTATACCAAACATGTTTAAGGTGATCGCCTCTATTCTTTATCATGAACTTCCCACCACCACTCATCTTCGAGCCGCTGCAGCTACCGCACCGGCAGACGTTTATCCTACTCCACGGACGAGGCTCATGGGCAGAGAAGTTCGCGCCCGAGCTGCTGCAAACACCTCTGCCACGGAGCTCTCCACAGAACCACGCCGGAAGCAGCCAATGCGCGAAATCGGCCCACGGGCCCACGAACGCCCTACCGGACCAGAAGCCCGCCATGACATTACAGACATCCTTCCCGCACGCCCGCTTCGTATTCCCCACTGCACCCCGCCGCCGGGCAGCGCTAAACAGGCGGGCGCTCACCCACCAGTGGTTCGACAGCTGGAAGCTCGACCCGCCGGCGACAGAGCGGGAGGAGCTGCAGATCGAGGGCCTGCGGGGGACCGCCCTGTACCTGCATGAGCTCCTCCGGGGCGAGATCGCCCGGGTGCCCGGCGGCGCGCGGAACGTGGTCCTCGGCGGCCTGAGCCAGGGGTGCGCGGCCTCCCTCGTGGCGTTGCTGCTATGGGAGGGGGAAGGCCTGGGTGGTGTTGTTGGGATGTGCGGCCGGCTTCCCTTCGCCGACAGGATCATCGCCGAGGCTCGGGATGAAGGGGGGTATCAAGAGCTTGGTTTTGACCCGTTCGCGGCCGATGGGTCTGACGCCGGGGACGTGGGCCACGGCTCGGAGGTGGAGGATACCCCGGTGCGCAAGGCCGCAGGCTGGTTGAGAGAGCAACTGGACCTGCCGGCTCCCGAGGCATCATCTGGCATTTTGCCGTTGCAGAAGGTCCCCATTTTCCTCGGCCACGGGGCGCAGGACGAGAAGGTGAGCATAGAGCTTGGGCGCAGAGCTGCAGAGTGTCTAGAGACGCTCGGCGCGCGAGTTTGTTGGAAAGAGTACGGTGACCTGGGCCACTGGTATTCTCCTGAAATGTTGGGGGATCTGGCATGCTTTTTGCTCGAGACCTTGGCCGTCCCAGCCCAGATCAACGAATGAAACCCCTTGTGCTCAACACAGATGATGAGACCCTCAAGCGGAAAACGTATCGTGGATGAATTGCCCCAGGGATTCTGCTGTGATGATTCAAGATTCAAATCAAATGACCCATATGTGTAGACCGACCCTCTTATATATACATGTACGCACAATTCCGAGCCAAGCACGCTCAAGCCTTGACAGCAGCCCTCTTGGTGATGCTAAGCCACATATCCTCAAAGTAGCTGACGCCACCCTTGATCACATACCGCCCCGGGACCTCCTTGTTCGCAATCTCAGGCCTATAAGTCCTAAAGAACTGCAGCGGCGCCTTATACAGCTCCATGTTGGCAATCTCCCTGCCGAGGCACACGCGGGGGCCGTACCCAAACGCCATGTTGTACTTGAGGAACTCCTTGGTCCTCTCCGGGTCCTCCAGCCACCTCTCGGGCCGGAACTCGCCCGCGTCGCCGCCGTAGAGGTTCCCGTCGCGGTGCACGAGCCAGGGGTTGCAGGTGATCTCGGTGCCCTCGGGGACGAACCTGTCGCCGCCGAGGTTGACGCCGCCGGGGCCGGCGACGCGCGGGAAGATGTTGGGGGCCGAGGGGGTCAGGCGCATCGCCTCGCGCAGGCAGGCCAGGTAGTAAGGGCAGTGGGCGAGGATGTCCTCGTACGAGGGGATGCTGCCGCGGGGGCTGATGCTGCCGGCCTCGGTGGCGGCGTCCACCTCCGCCATCAGCTTGGCGTAGACGTCCGGGTTGGAGAGGATGTAGGCCATCATGGCCTGGAAGGCGGTCCCGGTGGTGTCGGCGCCGGCGAGGAGCACGAGGAGGATCTCGGCTTTGATGTAGTCCAGGTCTAGGGGCTTGCCGTCTTCGTCACGGGCCTCGATGAAACTGCCGGGCTGTTAGATACTGTCTGGGGACTTGTGATGTGTGTGCAATCACTCACGTCTGTAACAGGTCAAATCGCACGTTCGTCCCGGCCTCGATCTCCTTGAATCGCTGTTCAATAAGCTTATCACGGAAGCGCATCAAGGTTCCAATTCCGGAATCCTGCTCTGGCGTTGCGACAAAGTATTTGCCCAGGAAAGTACTCTTGATCCAGTTCGTCATAGGGTACAGCCTAGCCATGATGCCGAAGGGCGTCAGGCCGTCGTGGAAGCCCTGAATAAGCCCACCGACGTCCTTCCCCTGCTGGATGAAGCCGAACGGCTCGCCAAAACCAACCTCGGAGATGACGTCGTACGCCATGTAGACCGCCCAGGGGGCAAAGTCGAACGTGGCGCCGGGCTCGCGCTTGATGAACAGCTCCTCGAGGCGGTCCATCCACTCGGTGATGCGAGCGTCGATGAGCGGCTCCATCTTCTTGATGTTGGTGAAGCTGTACGGCGCGGCGGCGATCTTGCGGAAGTGCGAGTGGGTCTTGGAGTCCTGCATGTTGAAGAGCGACTCGGTCTTGCCGAAACTGCCCGTGATGTAGTGCTGGGACTTGTTGGCGTTGCGGCTGTAGACCAGAGGCAGCTTGGTCGCGTCGCTGACCAGCAGCATCACGGGCGTGATGCGGATGATGGGGCCTGGTCATGACGTGTCAGTAATCGCTCATGCATCTTTGCGTGGTTATTCATTTCTATCCGGTACTTGTGGGGTGTCAGGGCACGCCAACATACCATATTTGCGGTGCAGGGCCTGGAAGGTCTGAGGCTCGTCGCCCTTGATATTGTGATAGGTGATCCATAAGCGAGTTACCGAGCCCCAGAACGGCCCGGGATACTTGGAGAGCGGGTGGAAGAAGCGATAGTAAATGATCTGATAGATGAAGGCGCCGGCAACATGCAGGATCCCGAGGAGGACCAGGCCTCCCACTATCCGAAGAATCGATGGCATTCTCAAGTGATGTCTCAACCAGAAACTGGTACTCCCAAGCCTTGAACGCAGTGATATCGCAGCCTGCCAACTTGACGTGCAGGTTCGTCAGGAGGACGGGGTAAGTACGCTTCTGGGGGGAGTCCTAAGCTATTGTGTGACTGCTTGCGTATTTATGGACTCAAGCTATGAGCCCAAGGGAAGAAACGCGTCACTTCTAAGCCAACGCGGGCGACGAGACCAACCGCCGAGGCGCAATACTGCAAGTATTTATGTGGAACTGCCGACAATGAAGGTGGACTCCCTGATCGCCGCCGCCAGGACGGCAATCCTTCCTTTGTTCGTTCATGAGCCTCCGGACGATTTCCCCACCCAAATCCAAGCGACAAGCGAATAACGTGTGTGGCATTTGATGTTACATTGCACGGCATGGCCCCTAGTGTACTTCTCTAGTGCCTGCTCGATGCTTGCTCGATTAGGCAGACCCGTAAAAGATCACGACACCCCCCCAAATTTCTTGGGCCCCGTTGGTTCCACCTTTCCGCGTCCGGTCAAGATAGGTTGGCCCCCAACTGCCTCCCGCCGCCGGAATGAGACCTCGGGAGCTGGCAGTTGGGAGCCAGGCCACTCAGAGTCGAAATCAAGACAACGGTTGGGAGGTCGGAAAATGCAGGTATTCAGAGTCTCAGACACTCAGCTGCGGGGGTCTGCCGTCCCCAGGCCGCGGCAGGCCCAGTAATGATGGCCGGACGTTCCGCGGTTGGCCAGGCGCATCAAGAAAAGAGGAGAAATGTGACTCCACAATCGACCGAGTTCCCGCACCTGTCAAAATTGCGAATGTGTGTGAGGATGGCACCAGGGCCAAGCTGTCGGTTCCAATGATGGATGCCAAGTTTGGGGTATAGGAGTTGGTTCTATTGCACTGGGGCTGAAGAGGCTCTCGCCAACATACTGTGACACAGTGATGCTCGGCTCGATGCTTGCCCCTGGTGTCTGTGGAGACAACATCCGGACTCATCTTATGGTTGGCCAACAGCAGCGTGTCCGGAATTCTGATGGCCAGAAGCCGAAACTGTCAAGTGCCAAATGAAGACATTGTGTTCCATCGGAGCACACGGCCGGAGAACATGGGTTGAACGGCTTAGATACGGTTGGTGATCATCAAATTCTCTCTCTGAGAGACTTGTGAGTCCACAAGTCATTACTATGGCATCAAGTTATTTCGTCCCCAGGACTCTTAATATACTCACTCATGTGATCACAGACTCCCGGGCCAGTGGGCAGAAGTAACTTTTACTGTGGTACTGCAGGATGGAATCCTCGGCACCTATCAAATGGTAGGATGGCGACTCTTCCCGCCATTTTGACAGGTCGTTTCCCCCCTCTAATTATGGGTCGCCGCCGATCCCGCAACCCCTGTTTGCCAGGGTACCTAAGATAGGTCCAAATGCAACCTGCAGGAGAGGCACCCCAGGCACCCTCGAGGAATTACGCCACAGCAGTGACAGGGCAAAAAAAAAAACGGTTCTGTATAGCGTATTACAGACCCACTCTGCCACTGCGAAGAGCGCGGACCGCGATCCACGTACTTGTGTGTAGATCGTCGTGTCCGAGGCGTACGGCCCATCCGTTGACCGGTGGACTCTCCCCCACGGTAAATCTAGCCGGCGCCGGACCACCTCTGGATAGAGTCTAGATGCCTGCTGGATCTGGAGGGAGAATCACGAGCATCAACCGGATGAAGCAGTACGGCCGGCCTCGTGACCCACTGCTTCTAGATACATACAAGTGCCGCCCCAGCCCAGGAAAGGATTTCCAAGAGCTTCGAGTAGCTTGGAAACTGTACCACGTTTCGGCAAACGAGCCGGTGTGTCTGCCTCCAGGGCCGTCTTCCCTTCAGTGATAACATATCACATCCAGGAGCCCCCCAGATGTACCACAGTAAATCGCTAGTCGGCTGATTTTCTCGGTTCTGCCCCAGGGGCGACGGGTATCCTCATTTCTTCCCATGCGATAGTCTGCCTGCTCCCTGGGGAAAAGAGAACACTCCCGCACTCTGAAGCCCTTGCTCGTGATTAAACTACCTAGGATACCTGGGTAGTGATCTAGATTATCGCCGAGAGAACTACGCCGCACGCGGGGGCACGACCGGTTTCATTACTGACCTCGCTATATGCAGCTTCCCGGACAGCGGCTCTCTATTCGTCGGCGGGAGACTGGAGACGGAGACCGGCATCCTCATATTTTGTGGGGGCCGGGCGTCCTGGCCGTTGTGTTCAGTTTCCCCCTTCCCGCCCTAGACTCTCCAAGGTCTCAGGGTTTATTTTGGGAAGGAGATCACCTGTACGTAACCATGCTGCCGTCCCGTGCCCCTGCAAATGTTGTAATACCATTTCGTCCTTTCGTTGCCTCCGTGAAATGTGACTGAGGCAGCTTGGCGGGCCCTGCCCCTTGATGTTTTGCCATGTGAAGGAAGCAGTTCGCCTCCAGGTCCTCGGTGCGCCGGGCCCATTCTCAAATATCTCCTCGGCCACCCACTTCGAGTCGTCATGTCTTGAAGACACGGGGCCTCTAGCAGTGTTGTTCATTGCTTTCTTTCTTGACACCAGTCCACAAATCCGCGTGCCGAAGGCGCCCATTCCTTCGTTCTACGCACCGTGCAAGTGGGCTTTGACTTGGTCGTTCTCTGGCGTTGGCGAGGTTCCCCTTTCCCCCTCGAGCGCAGAATGGCCGAAGTTGAATCTCAAGGCTCCACGGTGACCACCGTGTCGGTCGTCTTTGGTGTTATCACAATCATCACCATATCGCTGCGGTTGTTCGCCCGGATCCACATCACAAGATCATTCGGAGTCGACGATGGTGGGTTGTGCCTTTCCCTGCTCCTCGCGCCTGTGAAACCAGCTGACTCTGCCCCTTAGGACTCATTATAGTCGGTGCCGTAGGTCATGACAAATATGCGGGTGCAGGTCGAGTTTGATCATTGACCGTCATACAGTTGTTGGCGTGGGCTTTCATCATTGCAACGATCCTTGGTATGCACAAGCCCGACTGTTCCAGTACACTACACTACACAGGTATTTGAGGGACGGGAGCTAATGCACGCTTAATGTTAGCCGTGAACCATGGACTTGGGTCACACATGGAAGATGTGATGTTGCGCGGCATAGACAATCTCATCTCGTACTCACAGATCGTCTGGCTGTCTTCAATCTTCTATAATGCCTGCCTCGGATTCGTCAAGACGTCAGTCCTGGCCCTCTACGCCCGCCTCGGGGACCGCGAGCTACGGCGACTGGCCTTTATCATCATCGGCGTCGTCAGCTGCCAGGCCGGTGCGAATGTCATTGTCTGCATTTTCCAATGCACCCCTGTCGAGGCTGCATGTAAGCATCAGTCATATGATCCTGCCCGGCTGTACCTGCACGACGGTTTCAAGACTCGGAGATTACGCTGACCTTTCGTGCACAGATGACCTCAATATCGTGGACAAGAAGTGCATAAACATCAACGCATTCTACCTCGCCAACGCCGCCGTCAACATCTCGACAGATTTCCTGACATACACATTGCCGATCAAAATGGTGTCCAAGCTGCAGATGCCCACGCGTCAAAAGATAGGATTGGGTGTGATGATGTCTCTGGGGTTCTTGTAGGTCGAGACCATTCCGCCTTAAACAACTTACCGAGGAACAAATCACTAACGGCGAGACACTTGTCCAGCGCTTGCTTGTCCTCGATCATCCGGATCACGTACATCCCCCAAATGCTCGCGCCAGACGCCGACGCAACCTGGGTCATCTCAGGGGCCATGGTAAGGGGCACAACACCAAACTACCTACCTGCCCCCGTGTCCCATTCAGACATTAACCAAAATCCCGCCAACACAGTACTGGTCCGCCATCGAGACGAACGTCGCCATCCTCGCCGCATCGATCCCATCCTTCAAGGCCCTCGCCAAGCGCTACGCGCCCGCCCTGCTCGGCAGCTCGAACCGCGGCGGCGGCGGCGGCGGGTCGGACTACAAGCTCGGCACGGCCGGCGGCGCGGGCGCGAGCCGGAGCCTGAGCACCAACAGGCTGGCCCGGTTCCACATGATGGACAAGGGCCGCAGCGGGCGCGAGGTCGACATCCACGCCAGCAACGACGACGACCGCGAGGGGGACCGGCACGACACCATGGGCGGCGCCGCGTCGCGGGCCGGCGCCGGCGCCAGCGCAGGCAAGGGCGGCTCGCCGTACGGGCGTGACTCGTCGTCGTTGGCGGCGGACAACAGCAGCGAGGAGGCCATCTACGTGCGGAGGCAGCCGCCGCCCGAGGGCAAGATCGGCGTCCGGACGGATATTGCTACGTTTTATGAGGATGCGTGATGGGCCTGCGGGCGGCGCTGTGATGCATGGCTGGCAGAGGGGGGGACACCGTCGATGTTGGGGACTTTTTTACTACAGGGAGTTGGAAAGGATACCTCATGGTGACGCTGTGATAATTAATCAGGATACGGACATCTAGTGTGTAAGTTACTCGTGGACTTGCGGATTCGCCGGCACTTTGAAACAGTCGGACCATGCGGGAGTGGCCGCAGATTTAGACGCGTTGTAAATTACTTGTAATGTAACCAATGACCAATAGGGTTCATGAGCGTCACATTAAGCCTCCCAATCCAAGCACTTTGAGTTCTCCGGGAAATAAAACAAAGTCTTCCTAGAAAAGTATACAGAAAGCCTATCACTATACGACCCGGGCATCCACCAGTGGCGAACCCAACGAAATAAGCGCGATCCTAAACACCCCAAGACTTTGTGCCGTCATTTATAGGCCTTGCCTGACGGGACCGGGGGTTGAGACGATGACACTTGAGGCTGATCTCGTCTCAGCCCGAACTCTATGCCCGGGCGCCCCCCAGCGCGCCCGCGACTGCACCAGTGCCGCGCCTGAACCTGCGAGTCAAGCATAAAGAAGCATAGATCGGGCGAAATAGGGGTCAACCTCGGGAGCTTGGGGATCTGCACGCACCGGCGGAAAACGTGGGGGAACTTTGGAAAACGAAGGCTGAGAGAGGATAAATACACAAACAAGCCCCGCGGGATCTCCACGGCACGGCTCTGCGTTACTCATCCGTAAGGCTTGAAGCCATTAATTCGTGAAAATTGTTTTATTTGATATAAACTAATATCCGCCATATCCTATCAACCAGTACGCCGTGGGCAGAGCGCCAGAGCCTTCCTTCGAAGCCCACATCCTGAGAGACGCCGGCCGCTGTCAGAAAGAACCACGACGGGACCTGTGTGTGACGTTAAGAAACGAGCAGCAGCGCCATTTAATAAAATGAGGCCCTCCACTTTCATCCTATTCGCAGCTGGCGCGACCGCCATGCCGATGCCAAACGGGTAAGCCTCGCCCTCCCGTGTTAGGTGAAGGGACCGTACGCCTTCGGGATATATACGGATCAAGAACGGAACCACCAAGGACGAAACCACTTATCATTTTCAACAACACCAACGCTTTCCTCGCACCCCCACAGTCCAGCCCCATCACACCGACAACCAAGAGACTGCCTGCCATAGATAACTAACCCACATCGCAGGCCGCTGGCAGCCCTCGAGGGCCGCGCGTCCGGCGCCATCGGCAGCATCATGGGGTACTTCCGGCGCGACGACGGCGTCGTGTGGAAGCAGACCAGGGCCCCGCTGGTGGACGCCCTCGAGACCCCGCGGGTGGAGTTCGCCCCCGTCAGGCGGGGGGACAAGAAGCGGGCCGTCCCCGCCGTGGGGAGGACCGTCCTGCTCCCCAGGAACGTGGACAGCGGCGGCGTCAACTGAGAGGATGTCGCAGTAATAATAAGACGGCTAGACGGGTATATTAAAATTTTACAGAGGGCTTCCACGGGTCCTTTTCGACCGGCTTGATAGGGTCTTGTCTGGTGGGCGGGACGGAACATCTCTCGAGAACTGGTTGGCCCCCTCGGTCTGGACAGGGCCTTGACTGGCGGGGAAACAGGGCAGCCAGTCGTCTGGTTCTTGAGAGCGAGGTGGAATGCTTGCTCTCGGCGTCTCACATTCCTCCACGATGCTCGACCATCACGGCCAAACGTGCTCGAGGCTCCCGATTGCCCTCCCGACGGCACTCCGCCCCATCTTCAACATCTCCTGCCAAGCACCCCCGACACTCCAGCCAGAGCATTCGGCCAGCCGTCCGCACTCCACCCCACAGAAACAGGTGGACCTCTTTGACTGTGATTTGGAAGTGCCAAACAACGGGAGGGCCAATGTTGCACGCCGAGGGCCGTGCTGTCCGCACTCGTGAGGGTACCATTACAAAACGCCTGGACAACGCCCATCGTTTATAGAAGCACCGAAAGCCTAGAGCTGTTCCATCTGTCAGGATTCTTCTTTGCTGCTTGGGATAGCCGTTAAACAATTCATCTGTAATTGAGAGCCAGCACTCGGGGCAGGACATTAGAACATACATCCGCAGAATGAGGACATACGGGTTGATACCCGGCCAAATTACCAGTTGAACAATTCAACACTGTGCCACCTTGTACTCTTTTTCTCTCCCGAAGCCACTGCCATGCAACCTGCCACCCAATCAGGCCTGGCCTCGTCCATACCTTCCTCGGCCTCTGCCTCTGCCTCTGCCGTACGCCCCGCGGCCGGCCGCCCCCGTGCCGGTAGAACCAGATGTCGTCCGCTTGAATGCCCGCTGACTCGAGGAGGAAGAACCCGTCGTGGGATTCGGCTGTGCTACACCGGCCGATAAAGATGGGTCGTACTTGGCAGTCTTGCACGCGGCCGTGAACTCCCTCAGCAGTTCCTGCAACACGGTCAAGTCAGCCAGTCAGTATTCCACCACGGCAGTTACTAGAAGAGTCCAATAACAACGACAAAGAAAAGGCACGCACCTCAAAGTCCTGGTCCTGCATCGACTCCCACGCCGCACTCTGGTGCATCTTCAGCTCCCTGACGCGGGGGCTCATGATGCCGAACGCGACGCGGGCCAGGAAGCGCGGGTCGTCGCGCACGGGACACTCGGCGAGCACCATGCGGATGCCCGCCCTGTCGAGCGGCCTCCTGACGGGCGGCGGCACGCCGACCCTCCGCCCGCCCGACACGCAGAACGAGCAGTGGCCGCACCTGTCCCCCTTCCCCTTCCTGCCGCCGGGGAGGTCCAGCCCCATGCCGAAGTGGCGCGCCAGCGCGGCCGCGAAGCAGCCGGGCCCCGTGATGAGGTCGACCACCTCCCTGCTGCGGGCGAGGGCGTCGCGCTCCTTCTGCTCGAGGCCGGCGTACATGGCTGCGGCGAGGTCGTCGAGCTGCGCGGGGCTCGTGGGCGGCTCCCTGAGGAGGCGGAACTTGGGCACCACGCCCTTTGTCGTGAGCTTGATGATGTTGTCGCGGTCGAGGTGGTCCAGGATCTGGATGATGTTGGCGCGCAGGTAGCCCGTCTTGCGGACTATGGCGTTGACGTCGACGTACGTGTACTTTGTCTTGGTCTCCGAGTTGTCCAGGATGGCCCTTGCTTCCGGCCGGTCCTTCTTGGCCATGTCTTTCATGAGCGTGTAGTAGGCGCCGGTGATCTCGAACGAGTACTGGCTGTACTCCGGGGTGATGGCCCGTATGAGGCCGTGGTGCAGCTCCAGGATGGCGTAGATGACGCTGAGTGGGTTCTGCCGGATGTCGAATCGCTTCATCTGGGCGTTGGTGTCCTTCTTGAACTCGTCGCCCACCGCCAGGCTGGTGACCTCGTCGTTGAAGATGTCCCCGAGCAGCTTGCGGAACGGCTCGTAGGACGGCAGGTCTCCCCTGGCGAAGTTCTCGCGGATGTACGAATCGGCGTGGCAGAGGTAGAACATGCAGTTGCTCCGCTTGCCGTCTCTCCCGGCGCGGCCGATTTGTTGGCTGTACTCCTCGACTGTGGATGCCTGTGTGTAGTGCACAATGTTTCGTATGTCGGCCTTGTCGACCCCCATCCCAAACGCAATCGTTGCAACGACGACCCGGACGTTGTTCGCCATGAAGTCATCCTGCACCTTGATCTTCTGCTCGACCTTCATGCCTGCGTGAAAAGCCGCTGCGTCAAATTTCTGTGCCCGAAGCGCACTGGCAAGCTCCTCGGACTCCTGAACCGTGGCGTTAGTACCGTGTGCTTGGTAGTCTTCTAGATACCCAATGGGGGAGAACACACCTTTTGGATGGTAACGTAGACCAATGTCGGTCCATCGTTCTTTCGCAGGAAGGCACAAAGTTTGCCGAACTTGTCATCCGGGGCGGGGACGTACTCGGCGAAGAGGTGGAGACTTGCGAACGTCAAAGGTCAGCAGGGGGCAGATCTTCGGTCGCATGGCTGTGGAGGAGTGGGTTCTGGAAGTGACTAACTTTGGTCGATATGGTGACGTCCGAAACACGCCTTGATCTTCGATCTCGAACGCCGCGCGGATGTCCTGTATAACCTTTGTTGTTGCGGTGGCCGTGAGGCAAATGACGCGCTCGGCCCTGGTCTCCTTGACAAAACGGGCCACTGCAGGTACAGAAATGTCAATATTGACAACGCAAGGAGCCCCTTGGGGTGGAACAGAAAAGCAGGGGCCCTGGTCTCGAACCTTTGAGATACTCTGGCCGGAAGGAGTGTCCCCACTGGCAACAAGTTAGCAATAGTATGCGCCGCTCCAGCATGAAATTGAGCGTTTCCCTACCTCTGAAATGCAATGTGCCTCGTCAACCGCAACAAAACGCACACCGCCGGGGACATGCGCCATCTGCTGGACGAACCGCTCGTTGTTGAGCCTCTCCGGCGCGCAGTAGACGATCCTCAGCTCTCCCCTGCCCAGCTGCTGGTTGATGGCCTGGAGCTCGTCCCAGGACTTGGTCGAGTCGATGCATTCGGCAGATATGCCGCGCTTCTTGAGGGCGTCGACCTGGTCCTTCATCAGGGCGAGCAGAGGGGAGATGACGATCGTGATGCCGGACTGCCCGGGCTCCCTGAGGCCACGAGCCTCGTCGAGCTCGGGGAAGGCTACGGCTGGTATCTGTGATGGGGGTTAGTGGGTAGATCAGGGCAACGTGGTATCGCACGTGGTGTTGTGTTGACTCACCTGGTAGCATAGAGACTTGCCGGCGCCGGTCGGGAACACGACGAGGGTATTCTTGCCGGCCAGAATGCGCGTGATGGCTCCCTTTTGCTCGTGTCGGAAGGCTTGGTGGCCGAACTTTTCTTTCAATATGCGCTGTGCGAGTTTGAGATTTCCCTCGTAGATTGCACCGTCGCCATCGGCCTCGCTGTCGGCAACAGGGGCCTCGCCTGTCGTGATCTTCTGGCGCTTGGAGGCAAACGGCATGTCTTCTCCGTTTGACGATTTGCGCTTCAACATGGCCTTGACCTCTGGCAGGTTATCGACGTCAAGATTGTCGAAGATGTCATCACCAGAGTCGAATTCGGAGTCACTGTCGCCCATCTCGTCTATTGGGCCGATCTTGGGGGCCAATGCCTGTTCTCCACTGCTGTTGTCTTCAAGGAAGTGACGCGTTGAGCCGGGTCTCAGTCGAGTCGCGTCCCGCCTAGAGTTCCCCACGAAGTCAGGTGGTCAGGCGCTGCAGCTTGCCGCGACAGGGATGCTCGATCTGGTCCATTTTAGTCATAGCGCCTGGACAGTGCACTGGCGGGGGCTTGACACCCTGGCAAAGTACTGTGTTGATCAGATGGTAGGGCAATCCAAACAGTGGCGGCTATGTCTTCCACTCCTTTCCATTCGATGCTTGATTTGGCCCAGCTCATTTGGATTAGACAAAATTAACTCTACATAGTATAGCATTGGTAGCAAGCATCTTGTGGGCAAAGGACTGCCACATTGGGAAGCACCTCGGCTGAGCCCTCCAGGGCTTGATCCAGGCCTGACAGAAGAAGCTCTGCATCCACTCGTCCCTGGCAGAATGATGACCACCTAGGTTGTAGTACACTTCTCATGTTTCTGGAGTGGCCAGAAGTGACTTGGGGATTTCAGAGGGGTGGATACCTCTTGATGTGCATTATCTGTCTAAGAGCGTCTTGTATGGCAGCCTCCTTCATTCACTTGACTGCTGCCAGGCTGCCCTTTCTCAGCCTTGCCACGGACCACCTGGTGTGATGGTTCCCACAAATGTGTCCTCTGCAACTAGAGGGCCTTGGTTCGTCCCCCAGCCTTGCTCAAGGAGCCAGAGCCCGGAGTCTCGTCCACCAATAGATCGTGCCTGTGGACCCAGCTTCCAGAAATTCTGGACATTCCGGAATTCTGGAGAACCATCAAGAGAACAATCCGGAAGCAGGCAGTGTCCACCAATGGCGGCAACCGATCTTGCATGCCGAGACGCCCCATAATAGTGCAAGCCGGTCTAAGTCTGTGTAAGTCGTTATATCATGTCCCAATGCCGGCTTGTATATCATCTCACCACTAAGTCATGCCAACAAGGGTCTGCTAGCCTTCTCGTGGGCCCTATCACGCCTTGATAGGGGCTGCAATCCTTGAAGACTTCCCAGGGTTTTTGTTTGACTCAGGCTACTATGAGGGCTCTTGAATGATATTGCAACGCTCTGCCACTCGTGGAGAGAGCGAGGGAAGGAGGAAATGCTTTGGAAACAACCAAAGGGTAACCTGCTTGCATGCCCCCAACTCTGTCAGCGTCCAGTCACACGCAAAGTCAGCGGGTTCAGATATTGGAGCCCACCAACCTCTGCAAGAAGGTATACTGGTCTTCAGCCTCAAAGCGGGCAAATCTCTGCCAACACCGAAGCCGCTGATATTTTTTGGAACCCTTTTCCCGGTGTAGCGTCACAGGCTGCGTAGCACGACCTCCCGGCTCTCGTCGGGTTGTTCAGCTCGCCGCTGAATTGCAGCGAGTCTTGCACATTCCGAGGCCGTCCTTGAAAACCCTGGGAAGCGCCAGGAGCTGATTCTTTGAGCCACAGAAGGTATTGTGGCCGTCAATGGCTCGCTCAGGGTACGTTCGTTGGTCTTCGGCGTTCGATAGGATCTGCCGTGCGTTTAAGGTCAGCTGGGCTACGGCACTGATTCCAGGCAGTTGTTTTCGTGTCAACGGGGTAGCTGAGCAACCCAAAGCGTTCGGCGGCCTCGCTGCCGTCGTGCCTCCCGCCGATTCGAAGGGATTCCGGTCGGCGACGGCCATCGGGGAGCGTCACGCCCTGGTGTGGGCATGGTGTTGGATGTGCTTGAAGTCTTGGAGCTGGATAGAATCACCGGTCAGCGCAATTATGGCACTCTCTTGACGGCTGCCTGCCTGACGATGCTGGTTCTCGACTTTAAGACCCAGCCAGACCAGTTGAATAAAGAAAGTGACGAGTCAGCTGCGACTCCACGACGTGATCAGCGAAAATGAAGAATGGATAGCACAACTGTCTTTGCGGCAGTATCACCGCTGCAATTTGCAGCCTGTTGTTTGCTGCCAAAGAGCCCAGAACTGGTCACAAAATCGACGGGCCATCGCGCCTCGTGTGATTGCCGACCAGATGGCCTGGAGATGCCAGGCAGGCTGCAGGAACACTCCTGGAGCCCATTCGGCCGATGGAGTGCCGCCGCCCGAAGGCTCTTTCCTGCAGATGATGTGCGCTGGACGAGTGTTGCAGAGCAGCCTTGCGGTCGACTCTAGCGCGAAGAGAGCCGAGTGACCGAGTTCAAGAAGATTGTCGTTGAGCCGTGGCGAAAGGCGCGAATATCAAAGGTAAGAAATAAGGCTGGAGGAAGATGGATGGGCCAAAACCTTTGCATGGCAGCAATCTGGGGCACGAGTGGGAATGGATACAGCATGTTCGCCGGAAAGAGCCACGACCCATACCGCGAGACCATCAGAATCAGGACGGCAAGAACCAGGCATGCTCGCGACGGTGGTCACTGAGCAGCGCAAAAAAAAAAAAAAAAAAAAAAAACGGTGATAACAACGGCCACCGAGGAGTTTCTTCAGACAAAGCGAAGCCCTTGAGCTCAACGAGAGACGATGTTGATTGCAACAAAAGCATCATTGCTAAGGATACCACTACTAGGTCCCAAGACGCGTCCCTCATTGTGGCCAGACGCGTCTCCAGGGCAGTCAGCTGTGCTGTTCATGCCCAACTCCTTAGTATATCTTCAACTCCAGGTACTCTAGGCGATTTGTGAGCACCCATTGTCCAGCACAGGGAGCGCTTATGGGGGGCTCTGGGTCCCCTTTGACCCCCTGCCCTGCCTATGCCTGCAGCCCTCCAGCCCTCCAGCTTCCTCCTTCCTCCTCCTGTCACCATTCCGTCTGATATTCCTTCAGGGGAGCTCTTCCAGCAGACAGGCGCCTGAGAGAGCTCAGTTAATCCGGGCCCACTTTTTCGGACTATCCTCCAGTTGTTGTTGCCTTCCTTCACTTAACTCCCCCTTCGTCTCCCACCCATCCCAACCTTTCCTCCTTTCCAACACCATCACCACTCACATTCACCACCACCTCTCCTTCAACCAGTTCAATACACAAGACCCAACAACCAGTAAGTTAATCCTTCCCTGATCCTCCCCATCAACATCATCACCTTCATGGTGATATTTTTCGTGTGTAGGCAAGACTAAACCAACCCCCAACAGCGGCACATTGCCTCAGGCAGCATCACTCCTTCACTGCAACACCACAACGCGTTTGCGTCAAGCAATCACAAGCTTCTCCAACACGCCCTTTCGTCATCCACCCTTCAAGCAAACCATTGCAGTCTGGTGACCATGACGGTGAGTCTTCCTCCCCCTTCCTGTTTGCCAGTCTGCTCTTCACCAACACTTGTGGTTTTCCCTTAACTCTCTTGCTTTCTCTTGTTTTTCCATTTTGTTCTCGTTTGTTCTTAACGTCTGTTCCACCCTTCAAAGCTGACATGTCTGTCCTGCCGACAAGACCTTCACTTTCCTTGTCATCATCTCCCTCCTCCTCCTGCAGGTTGCGGGGCGCGGAGTGGCCTTTCCTACCATCATCCTGCAGCAGCATGATGGCATCTTCCCCAATGCGACCAACACCACTGTCACTATCACTGGCACTGTCGTCTCCCTCTCCCCCACTGGTTTCTCTTCCATCATCCCCACTGCCGACCCGGTCAAGCGCTACGACAGTGTTGGCAAGCCCATTGACAACCACGAGATTCTTCCTGGCTACGGCAAGGAGAAGCGTCAGCGCAATGTCTGCCACCTCTCTTGCGACCCTGTCTCCCTCGTCGACATCTGCGAGAGTGATCCTGTCCTCGCAAACTGCGACACTGAGTGCTCTCTCCAGACCACTGGCATGGTTCCCCTTGGCGGTGCTGCTGTCATCGGCCAGGTAGACACTGTCATTCCCACCGACGCTATGGTCGCATGCCTCACTCACTGCAAATGCGCCAGTGGCCATGGCTCGGGCATTGTCGATAGGGACAGCAACAGTGACAACCCCTTTGAGGGCCTGGACTAGGACTCCATGGAACAGACAATGGTTGACACTGAGGAAACCCACATCATGCCTGTCGTTTCCATCACAGAGGACAGCGGAGACTCCGCCCCCGATACCATCCTTCACGCCAATTTGGAGCTCCACGAGCCACTTCTGCAGGCCTCAACGGGTTCTACTGTGATTCCGATGAGCGGGGAGAAGCAGGTAAGTACATGTGCCATCAACTATGGCCCCTCTTTACGGTCGCTGACAGGACGCACGCAGGTCATGATGGGCACCAGGGACGACGGTCATCCACCTCGCCCTTGCATGTCCAGCCGCCTGTTCCCCTGCAAGACCGAGGAAGACGTCGAGCCGCCCATGCCATCTCGTCCTTGCGGCCCTGTGGCTCCTTGCGAGGCTGACGAGGATGTTGTTGGTGAGAACTAGGCAGGTTGCCACCCAGATGATCCTGTACGGCCATGGAGCCCCCTGGAGGAACATCACATCTCATCACAGCATAATCGTGTAGTTGCAACAACACACAACGGTTTGGTCACCGTCCCTTTTGATCTTTCTGACATTCACACTTTGCCACCCCCCAACCACCCATCACCAACCACCCAGCTGGTAGTTGGCTTGCAACGGACACCGGGGAGGATTTCGGCACCAAAAGTTACTGCATTTCTTTCTTTTTTCGCACCAGTTTCAAAACGAGGGGATCTTGTTTGTTTCTCACACAGCCCTCATCATCTAGTTGTTCAGGTGGCACGGCTTGTCGTTGTCATCATGGTGGCAGCAGGGGGTTAGTGCTAGGATGCAAGACAGAGATGACCTGATGGATTGATGACTTGCTCAAAGGCTGCTTTTGTTCCAACCATGACAGACAGATAATTGACCAACCAAAATTGACCACCAAACTCAAGACCTTTGCGTGCATTTGTGAACTGTCCAGTGATGTCCTGGTGTTCCAGTGCCAGCTTTGCATCACTGCAAGGCGAGGCCGAAATGTTGCCTTGGATTGTGGACCTCTTTCTAGAGAGAGAGACGGGAAACCAGGATTCACTGCTGCTAGAATAGAGTAGCTTCAGCAGCGTCTCAAGGCCCTGTGGAAGCATCTGGGACAAGACATCGGAGTGGTCAGGGGATACCGTCCTGTGTGCATTGAAGGACATGCCTGGCCAAGAACAGCCTGGCTATGAGGGTAACAATGGAGCAAGACACGAAATGCAAAAGTGCAAGTTGCATAAATACATACGTACATGGCTTTTTGCCAACCCACATTTGTGTGTAACTGTTTTACAACTGTTCTTACACTCCACCACCACTTCTCTCAGTCCAGCAGCCAGACCCACACGAGTGTTTGGGGGCCGTTGGCCCCAACGCCACCTGCTCCTGCTGCCGCTTCTCCGGGCCCGCGTTCCCACGACCCTTCACCGGGTGGCTCTGCGGTGGTGAGCCGAACCCATCAGCTCAGCTCTCTCTCTCCAAAGTTCCTCGGGAGCCCCGAGGTATGCGGCCCTGGCGCGGCCGCGCGCGGAGACAAGAAGCTCCTCGCGTGATTCTCCTGTCCCTCCTGGTGGGGTTTCGTTTCGAGTCCCCATACACATATAAAATGTACATGGCGTCTTCACAGTACTCCTTTCCACCGTCCATTCCTACACTCTTCTGCCCCTGATCAGCCTGGCCAGGAGGAGCAGAAAGACTCTTGCGTGTGGAGAACGCTTGGGGTGTCGGAGTGGACAGGACAGGATGGTGTAGTATTCCTTTCTCTCGCCGCGGGCGTGCATGTTCTCGGAGGTATGCGGAATAGAATTGAAAAGAAACCGGGGACTTCCTCTCGTCGTCCCCAGGCTCCGGCTCAACCGCATGGTGTCGCCAGGTTGCCGCCGACCGCGCCATTTCTGTGGCCATCGCTTGGCCGGGTCCTTCCACAAAGCACATCCGCTCGTGATGACGAGCTTTCCCTTTCTTGGGGTGGGAAGAAACGAGACACGGGCTTTGATGGACAGCTTTCTGGGACAGGAGAGGGAGGGCTGCATTTGAGCCCGTGGGCACCTGGGCAGGGAGGATGGGGAGGCGTCGGAAAGGGGCTGGAAGGGGAGTGACCTACTCCGTAGTCTGGCCGATAGAGTTTTCGACAGGCTGAGCGTGCCAGGGACCATCGTGGAAAGCGCGTGGAGCTGAAGAACCTGGCGGCTCTGGGGTTGTCAGCAGTTGGGCATGGCAGGGACAGCCAGGATGGGGAGGCTGGAGAGAGATGTTGAGCAGGTAGGGAAGGGGGCCGGTTTTGCTTCAGGAGAATGAGTCTTTGCCTTGGGGAAAAAACGGATGCTGCTGCATTGGATAACTTACAAAATTCCGGTCGGACCTCCCACCTGGTTCAGGTGGCCCGCCCCCTTTCTCGCCATCCCGCCCATACGCCCATGACGACGCTGACGAACTCCTGGCGAGTGCTTTCGTTTCTAATCCCCACACATATAAAACGTATGTGGCGCCTTAATACAGTGGTAAACGCTCAAGACCGAGCCTCTGGTGAGCTCCTGGGTGAAGGCATCGCCGAGGCCCCAGTCGCCGCGCGGAGAGGGGGATGGCCCGCGAAGGCAGGCCGTGGGTCCCTGGTGATGGAGGAGGGCGCCCGCGGCTGGTTGATGTTGATGTTATCCAGTGTCCCACCCCCCCCCCCCCTTTCCAGGTCGCCACTCTGCCATTGTTCATACTCAGAGATGCTCCTTCCTTCTCCTTGGTCCGCGTCGATCGATGCTCGACCGACACATCGGCCGGCCACACTCTCCTTGTGCTGGGAGAGGGAGACAACGCAGTCTTTGGTGGAGCGGCATCCCCGCCCGCCCCCCATACCCTCGCCTTGGTCCTCGTCGAAGTACGCCCAGCAGATCGGCCGGCCACACTCTCCTTGTTGCTGGCAGAGAAGCCCAGCGATGTCCTGCGGGTCGATCGTCTGCGTCAGAAGAGAGGTCTTAGGATGGGGCCAGGCAGGCAGGACGAAAAAGAAAAGCGTCTTACTTACCACTTCTCCGACGCCTGGATGGCTGTCTGGGAGGCCGCCACCCACCCGCATTCCTTGCTTCCCTGACGGAAGCCGTCTCGTCCACCAGCATGTGGTAGACGTACCTGGTTTCGCTTCTATTCCGCATACGTCCGAGGACATACATGGCGCCTTCATACGGTGGTAAACGCTCAAGACCCCGTGGTGGGCGTAGACCTTGTTGGCTCTGCCGGCGGCGCAGGCAGCGGCTGTCTGCAGACTGGTGGGGTCATTGTGCGGGTCTTGGCCGGAGGGTGATGTCCTGAAGAGGAGAACGGAATAGGAGGAAGGCATCACTGGAAGAAGGGGCCCTGCTGGGGGACTGGTGGTCAGATTTGGGTCAAGCTGTGGCACACTTGTGGGGGATTGGGGAGCGGCATTGGGTATTGTCTGGTTGTGAGGAAACGTCGCCCTGTTGCTAACGCTGGTTGCGGTGGGGGGTTTACTGACCTGGTAAGGCGAGATGACCACTCTTCTTGGGGAGCTTTGTACAGTAATCCAACAGGTTCTCAGGAGAGGCCCTGTACTCGGGCGAGGTTCTCGAGAGGGAGGGTGCCTCGAAGAGAGAAAGTGGTTTCGCTTCTATTCCGTATACGTCCGAAGCCATACACGGCCACAGGGAAGAGGCCGTGGGGAGGGCAGAGGTAGTGTGAAGAGATGATGCGCTTGTCGCTGGGAGAACATGGAGAAGAATCTGTCTGCTGGCAGAAAGGTTGGAGGCGAGTGTCGTAGCTCCAAGTAAACAAAGATTAGAATGGAAAGACAGACTACCCCTCGGTCGCCACAGCTCTGAAAAGACTGAACTGTGGTCTTGGGAAGGCTTCGAGTCGTCACTACTCTCTGAGAAAGTCATCGGCCAAGGCACGTCCAGATTGACCAAGCCCTTTGCCCAAGGAAGGCATGGGATTTGGGCTGAAGCACTTCAGGCGCCTATACAGATATCTACAGGCGGATTTCTACAGCTTAGAGGCGGTACACCGCCTGGAATAAGGCGCCTGAACAGGGACGGGCAGCTCCAAGGGCTCGTCAGGCAAGGCAACATGGGACGATAAGAACAGCTTGGGCATATCCCCACAACTCCTACCTGTTGAGGATACTGCTGGGGTCTCTTTCCTTCACCCCCGAGACCCTCTCATTACAGCAGGTGTCCAAGAGCCAAGGAGGAAGGCTCTTTGTTCTCTTGCCTGGCCCATGATGCATGTAACTACAAGGAGGGAAGCATTACCATGCCAAAATACATGATGGGATGGGAAGGACTGGAAGGGCGACTTGATTGCGTCTGGCCGTTTGCTCTAGTCACGCGGTATGCGAGCCAGCAGTGCAGGGGCAGCACGAATTGCCCTTGGGCAGCCATCATAGGTCTTCTGCTCAGCAGATTTGAGTCTCTCTTCTGGCCATTCACTCACACACCGACTTGACTAGATGTGATGACTTCTTATTGGTATTGCTATTCCAAAGTCAACTGGAAGGCATCGTCAAAGCCCACGGCATGCCACAGCAACACGCATCCTGTCAGTCTCCACCCGCGCCTTCAACCGTTCGAAGCCGTTGGAGCCCCGGCTCTGCTGCAACCAGTCGTAGGACCGTCATGACTTGACGGCATAGATTTTATACGATCCTACGGCAGCAGGTTAGTATTGCCCATTCCACTTCCGAGGGCCAGGGAGACCGATCAACCTACCAGCCCACTCGTTCAGGTCCTCGCCCTCGAGGTCCGCGAGGTCCTTCTCGTCGAAGGCATACGACTGATCCGGCTTTTTGACTCCTCCTCCTTCTCCGCAGCACGACGCAGAAGAAGACGCAGCTGCTGCCGCGGCAGCCGACTCCACGACCGCGTCCGTTTTCGACTTCCCTCCCGAGCAGCCCGACGAGGCGGGTGCCACAGCGGCCGCCGGGGCGGATTTCTTATCTCCAGGGCAGCAAGAGGAGGATGATGCCGGGGCAGACTTCTCCGCAACAGGCTTGCTGGAGCAACAGGAGGAAGATGCAGCAGGGGCGCTGGGGATACTCGGGTTACAGCACAGGTTCCCGCCCATCCCACCAGCCGTCCTCGTCCCGTCAGGGTTCGTCTCGAGGTAGACATTCAAGTCCGCCCCGTCGTCCCTGATGACCACGCTCCCCGGCTCGAAGCCCGCCTCCGCCAGGTACCGCTCGTACTGCGCGACGGTGCTGGCGCCCGCGACGCACCCGACGTACAGCGCCATGTTGGCCCTGAGCCGCTCGGGCAGCGGCCGGCGCGCCACGATGTCGGAGACGGCGATGCGGCCGCCGGGCCGCAGCAGGCGGTGCATCTCCCTGAAGACGAGGGGCTTGTCCGCCTCGGGGACCAGGTTGATGACGCAGTTGGAGATGATGCAGTCGGCGCTGCCCGAGGGGATGGCGGACATGTCTGTTATCTGGGCGTCGACGAAGCTGACGTTGGTCTTGTTGTGCTTGGTCTTGATCTCGTTGGCCCGCGCGAGCATGTCCTGGTTGCTGGTGGTCAGCCGGGCCATATATAGGAGGGGGCTGTCTCGTGTGTGTGACGTGCCTCGTTCATGTCGACGCCGATCACCTTTCCGCTCGGGCCGACCTTGTTGGCGGCGAGGAAGACGTCGAACCCGGCGCCGCTGCCGAGGTCAATTACCGTCTCTCCCTGCGGGTCCCGAGTACGTGGTCAGCCATACGGTATTACATGTCTGGTGAGAAGAGAGGGTCTTGTCGGGCCAACACACCTCCCGTATGCTGGCCATCGCCATGGGGTTCCCGCAGCTGAGGCCCAGGTTGGACTCCCTTGGGATGTCCGCCAGCTCCTCCTCCGAGTACCCAAACGCCTTGGCGACAGAGGCTCCGTACTCGAGTGCGGTGCCCCGGGACGCCGCGCTGTAGCGCTCGGTGACGTGGTCGTAGATCTGTTTGGTGGACATTATGGACGGCCGTGGCGTATCAAGGGATACAGTTACAAAACAGAGTTGGCCGGGTAAGTTCTGGATCTGAATTATCACACCCAGTTCTACCCCTGGAAATGCTCGTGGACCTCGTCGTACTTATACCAAGAGCCAGCACCGTCACCGAGTCACACTGTTCCCTTTCGGGCAAGATTTCGGTGACATATCAGCAGCGGCTAAACCCGATCCGGCTAAAGAATGGCATGTCACCGCCAAACTTCTCTGTTGGGCATTCATCGTCGCCGCCGCCGGGCCAAACGTCTCTCTCCTCTCCCCGTGCAACAGGACCTTGAACGCCCGCCCGCCCGCCCGCTCGTATTTATCCACACCAAATGAAGAAGACGAAGAGCCAACAGCCGGGAGAACCCCAGATCCTAAAATGGTCCTCAAAGCCAGCCAGCCACAACGCGGCCCGCGTGCGCAACAACCAGCGGCGCCACCGCGCCCGCGCCAGGGAGCACGTCCAGGACCTCGAGAGGCGCCTGCAGGAGACGGGCGCCAGGCTCGAGGCCGCGCTGCAGACCATCAGCCACCTCGCGCGCGAGGTCGAGGTCCTGAGGGGCCGTCTGCCTGCATCACCACCACCAGCACCGCCGCCGGCGTGGCCCCTGCCCCCGCTGCCCCCGGCGACGGGCGTGGCAGGAGGCGAGTATGAGGTCCAGCTTGGCGTCCAGCCCGCGGGCCCGTCGGGCGGACCACCACCTGCGGAAGAGCAGGAGCCCGGGGCCCCAGGTGTCCCAGAGCCTACTATTGATGCTGCTGCTGCTGCGCCGCCATCCTCATCATCGACAGAGGGAGCAGACACTGGCGGCGATGACGACGACGACGACAACGACAACAACAACGCAGACCAGGACTGCGTCTGCTCCGGCGCGGGCCTCCTCCCCCTCCCGCCGCAGGCGCCCGGCGAGTCCACCCTCCCCTGCGCCTCGGCGTTCCGCATCATATACCAGCAGAGCTTCGGCGGCGTCGAGGTCACCGCCGTCCGGGCGTGGCTGGGTCCCGGGTTCCGGAGGGCGCTGCGGCCCGGCGGGGCGTGCCGGGTCGAGACGGGGAGGGTGTATGAGCTGCTTGATCATGTCATGTCGGATTCTTGAGCTGGGACTAGGGGGGGGGGGGGGTGGTGAGTGGGTGGGTGGGTGACGGGCAGTGAAAGGCCAGGGTGTTTGTGCATTTTGGGAAGGGCTTGATGTTTCTTGAGTTTGACGCTTCAGAGACATGGTAGCTTTTGAATACACAAAACCACACATGGGGCCGTCGCCTGGCTCGGTAATAAGTGCCCACATTGCTCGCTCGTTCACGCGATTAAAATAAAGTTTCACATAACCCAAGCAAGCCGTCACCAATACTTGTCCCCACGCCGAAGCTTTGAGCGTGCAGTACTGGTACACGACCCACTTGTGTGGCTCTGGCTTGCTGGCAGAACTGTGCCCCCAATGCCTCACATCGGCCACGACCTGACCACTTGTGACATGCGCGTCGGATGGACCTGGGTCACTAAGGCTTCTCGCCTGGAAAGCTAGAGCGCCCTCCAGGGGTCGGTTGGAACCAATATGGAATCTCGGGTGGTCCTGCGGAAGGCGGCATTATTCCAAGGAGCGGCGGTCAGGTTGTTAGCTGTAGGCGTTTCCTGCTAGAGTCTCCTCCCCGACGCAGACGTACTTCCACCCCTGGCCCCCTGTTTTCCAATCCCGTATCCCGCTTTTCGACGTTTAGTGGCAGGCAGTGGGATCAAGGAGCTTGGGGACTCGGCTATAGTCCATCACATGTAGAACAGCAAGACCAGTGCGCGTCTGCGCTGCCCAGGTGCGCGGTTATGACTACGACAAAGCCGACAACCAGCCCGGCATAACGGCCGCCAGTTCTGCGGCCTGGTGGGGCGTGCCGGTCGAGACGGGGAGGGTATATAAAGCTATTTGATTATGTTATGTCGGATTCTTGAGCTGGGAGGGGGGGGGGTATAAGTGTGGATGATATATAAAAAGATAGGGTGTGTATGAATTTTGGGAGTGCTTGATACTTTTGAAGTAACCAACGTCTGACAACCTAGCTGGATGGTAGATACATACACAAGCATTGGCTTTTAAATATATAAAACCACACAGGGCCGTCACCTCGCTCGGTAACACCCATATTGCTCAATCACGCGACTGTGCGGCTACCTCAGAGAATCAATCAAGCCGACCATGTTCGACCATGTTGCCAAGCTTTATGACTGGACTGAGTCTATGGGCGCTGGCAACGCAGATGATCAAAGTTCTCGTCAAATTGCTATGTCGATGACGGTTTCGATTTCACCATTGAATCCACGCCACAACAACGAACAGGCGTGCCTGTTCCGGCTGAGGCCCACACTGGGCGCAGTCAACACGCCAGACTTGACACTGTTGTGGACCAGAATCCTCTCATTGATGCAGCTCTTCTCAGTGACCCCCATGGATCCGCTGCCCGTCGCCGACGGCCATGTCTACTCAACATTGAACCGACGCACCCACGCCCGGCCCCGGCCCAAGCCAGTCCCCGACCTTCACATTGGTGCAATTCTGATGTGCGTTTCTTGGGGCGGCATGATGACCCAACCATCCGAGTCCCGAGGAGCTCGAGGAAGCCGCGCATGTTCTTGAAGTGTAGACTTCTAGGTACCTACGCACTTGGGGAAGCCGGCCGTGATAAACATGGCAGCAACCATGGCATACCGTAAGTCGACCTCACGTGTACCTGCCCAGCGAGGTGGAGGATCAAGTGCTCCTGGTCCCCTCGACGATAATGTGTACTGTCGACATTGGTTGGGACTCAAGGAACTCACGGCCCTGCCTACGCCGGCTCCCGACTGAGGACTGTGGCACCTGCCTACCAGGTTTGGACTGAACAATTCTCGGACAGGCTTTCGAGGCAGCCGCTCTGAAAGCCACCGAGGTAAGGTGCTGAGGGTGATGACGGGCCGCCGTGGTGGTAGTTGAAACGCACTTTCCTCCGGCCATAATCGCTGTTGCAACGAGTAAGAGATGTACAAGCAGGTGCCTGCCAGCAGGCCGTAACTGCCAGGGAACGCAGCAATGCCGGATGGAGTAAACAAACCGTCTCGTCCGTCGCTGGTGAGAAGTTCGCTTCTCTTTTCCCTTCTCTTCTCTTCTCTTCAGGCCGATCCGAAGGGGAACATTGCCCCGCCTTCTTTTTTTCTTTTTTCTTTTCCGCGAATCTTTGTCTACGATGTATATTCCGTCAGACTCCGTCACCCTCTGGGGTCTCATTATTGGCACTTTGGTCGTCGTCGCGGCCTACGGGGATCTCCTCGTGGCATTCGGGTCATACCTCGGAACATCTCGTCTTCAGGTGCAAACGCCTACCGAGAGAATCGTCACTGGTGGGGGCTGGGGCAGGCTGGCGGCGGCCGTTGGGACTTCGTCCGTCGGGGCTGGGGGGTGGTGCGAGCGGGCTTCCGCCAGGGCTGGGGCTGGGCTGGTGGCCGCCAGGGCTGGGGGTGGGCTCGTGGCCGCCGGGAGGAGCCACCCGCCTGGCTCGAGATGCTCGATCTCGGTCAGTTGGCATCAGTCTCTCCCATTTTCACATCCCACTCTAATCAATTTCTGCTGCAGAGGCCGGCCGGCGTTGTCGCCGGCTAGATTAAGGAGCTGGACCTGTTTAAGAACCAGCGGATGGGAGGAGGGGCTTACGCCTGTGGTGACGTCGGCGACGACGACGCCGACGAGGACGACGACAACGACGACAACGATGACGACGAGGACGACCTGACAGTATCCCTAAGAAAAAGAAAAAAAAAACCACCGGCCACATCTCGAGCCTTGACACGGCGGTCCGGATTAACCCCATTTCAGCAATGGGGGAACCGATCGAGATGAGATAGCAGCACCAAAACATTTGCTTTAGTCAGGTCTCCTCGTTGTCCGTCATCCATACCTTCACTATTGGCACGCATTCGCCACCAGTCATCAGTCGTCCACAACAGTCAACCACAACAACCACAACCAGCACCAACACCATGACCAACACAAACACCAACAACACCAAGACCAACAACAACCACACATCAACCACATCGTCATCAACAACACTACTAGACACTAGTCCATGACCAACAACTTTCGGCCGTCAAATTCGGCCGTCTACACCGAACGTCCACAACATTCAAATATCCACGACTTTGCCCTGCGCGACACTCCGTCGTCTACACAACACTCAGTCGTGAACAACACCGATCATGAACAACACCTGATCATCAACAGCACTCAATCACTCAGTCTAGGGGGCCTTTTTCGTTTTTTTTTTTTTCCTGGCCCGGCCACCTCACCTCACAACACTCGGCAGACGTCCACAACTCTCCACTCTTCAACAACACTCAACCTTGGGTTGTTTTGTAAGGTTTTCTTGTCCCGGCCCTTTCACCTTGGTCTTTGGAAAGCATAATCAAACGACGGCCACGGCTTCTCAGCACAGGCCAGTCGCCATGCCCTTCGAGCATCACACCGCCACCGGCGAGCTCTTGGAAGCAAGGAAGACAACACGCTGTCCTGCGATCGGTTGGGAAGGCACAGCGGGCGGCGGACATTTGTCGCGGGTGTCTATTGGATGGATTCTTCTGACGGAATTGAAGGGAACCGCAGACACGGAGTCGAGGGCACGGAGTCGAATGGGGGATCGGAGGCAGTGGGTAGAGGGAACCGAAGGGAGGCTGTTGATGGAAGGGATCTCGGGAAGACATTTGGGGAGGCAATCGAAGGCAAGCATTGGAGTGAAGGAAAACAAGGGCAATCTCAGGGCAACACAGCACTCCAGGGCTGCTGCTGCAGGAAGGTATCGGGTTCTTTGGTCTCGGGCCGTGTTCGCTGGATGTTGTGGAAACGTGTTTTGGTGGAAAGCAGACAAATTGAGTTCTCTTCACCTGATTTCCACTGCAGCATGGAAATCTGACCATCTCTCTCCGGATGGGGTGCGAGTTGCCGAGTCAAGCCGGGGTCGGGCTCGTCTGCAAGTAGGGGCACGGTGATATGGGAATCGACGAATGCTGGGTTTGATTTTGCCGGGTTGGATGGGCTCTGTCATGCCAGACACTGCACTCACTGAACACGCCATCATGGTTGTGCTGGGCCTGTCAACATGCGTGGGAGGGAGGGTTTAGGCGGGCGTCTGGAAGTGGAAGGGTAAGTGACCTGATCCATCCGCCATTCGCAAGGGTTGTTTTCTGTGGCGCGTTCGTCTTGTATTCGCGTCATGGGTGGTTTCCTGATCATGCTGGTGCTAACAATATCTCTAGTGACGTGTTTGGGACATACGGGTTGGGGACGGCGCGGTGGTGGTCCAAGGGGGTTTTGGCCTACTTCGGCATTCCTTCGGCAAAGGATATCCCACGGTTTCGAGTTGTCAGCTAGGCACTTGAGTGCATGTTCTCCTTCTACTTTTGGACCATGCGCTCCACCACCAAGGACTACGGGATAGGATCTTGCTGCCCTTGGCCTCAGGACTCTTTCACTTACGGAGGTCTATGCAGCCACAGCTCCTTGAACGATCCTATGAAGGCCGATCTCGATCTGTCAGCTGAGCAATTACAATTGCTCGCCTCCCAGAATGATGCGAACAAGAAACACCGCGAACAAGAAACACCGCGAACAAGAAACACCGCGAACAATGTGCGAGGCGGCGAGACGCCAAGGTCCACTACTGTGACGACTTGAAGTTGGCACAAGGTCGTCCACCGCGACTTGTGCAGCTTCTCGCTTGTGTAATTCTTCCCATGCAATCCAAAATGGAGGGACTGGGTGAATATTAATATACAGCCTTCCAATTAGTCTCAGTTTGTACTGGTATATTGTGTCATGAAAACTGGGCTGGAGGGAACGTCAAGAAAATAATGTAACACAGAGGCCATCCTCTTCATCGGCCTCTCACCTCATCTGTCTCATCCACAATTAACGCATTGGCAACTCAGCAGCCCATAATACCTTGACAAAGTGTCCTGGCCAAGTCATCTAAAAGCCGAATCTCCTCAGCACCACGGCAACCGGGAACGGAACCAACGACCAGTCATTCTCGTCGGGGCCCAGACGGTCCAGGTCACTCTGGCTAATCTGAGGGAATAACAGGTTGGAATTGGTGTCGATCGCGGCCGCGTTGTTGCCCTTCTTGTTGCCTGCCGCACTGTCATCATCGCTGATTCCCAGAGCGCGGCCGAGGCCGTCGAGGATGTCTGACAGCGCGGGCACGAGCTTGGTGGGGATCTTGATGGCGCCACCGCGACCCTGGAACGCGTTGACGGCCGCGGTGAAGTTCCCCTGGATCTGGTCGTTGATCGGCTGGGCGATTCCTGCGATGCTCGGGTCCAGCGCGGCGATGAGCTGGGGTTACGGGTCAGCATGCTGCTGTCTGCGAACCATAGTTGTGGTTGCAGCGTGTCGGTACTTACCGATGTTCCCAGTTGCCCGGCACCCTCCTGCTGGATCGAGATGGTGTCCCTGATCAGACTCCTCACATCCAGGAGCTTGAGGCCGGCCTGGTCAAAGTCGGGCTTCTTGGCGGCGAGGTTGTTCAGCAGGGTGGTGATGTCCGGCTGGACGCCTAGGAACTGAACGCCGACCTGCGTCCTATCCAGCATCATAAAAGGGTCAGTCTCACCCCCTGATCATCATGCTTTCCACAAACCCCCCCCCCCCCCCCAAAAAAAAAAAGAGAAACTCACGAGTCTGTAGCGCTCAGTGTCGGTGTGTTGCCTGCGATACTCGTGGTCTCCGTAATATCATCTCCGAGCTCGACGACGGCCGAGTTCACCTTGATCAGCCCCGTGAGCCCATCGATGATCCCGTCCGAGCTGAACGCGACGACAGTGTTGTTCGTCACTGCGAGCTGCTGCTGTAGCGTCGTGATCGAGGCCTGGAGCGCCGGGAGACCGCCTGCTTGCCTCTTCTCCTCGGGGAGTGGCAGTGGGCTGGCGGAAGCGAGTGACGCGAGGGCGATGAAAACGAGGGAATATGTCGAGCCGATCATGATGAGGTATTTCGATACTGTGTTGTTACTTCTGTCCTATGGCCTGTCCAATATTGGATGTTTGCCAAGCGCTGCAGACTGACTGACTGTACGAGTACGAGATATGTTTGTAGAGGATATCAAAGTGGGCGAGTGGGACAACGGATGACGAGCGCAGGGGACTCGATGCTATGGGCTGGTCTCTACATATGGTTCACGGCGATGCAACCACTTTATGTCAAGCCGCACGCCCTCGGGGTAAGCAATTCCCCACGGGCTGGGGCTGGGTTGGATTGGTTTCGGCCCCGCTGAGGCCTGCCAAGCATAAACTCACAGGATCACAAGCGAGAGGGAGGGAGAGCCAACAGGCTTTTTCGGCCGAGGCTGCCACACTCATGATGTGCCCCCGGCTGTCGAGCCTACTTTGGAACTCTATTCAGGCGTCACACACATGGGCTGCCGTGAGCATCCTGCCGAGTCCCGCCGCCGCTCCTCTCTCTCTTTCTGGGGGTTCCTCCCCGTCACCTTCGCGAGTGCCGTGGAACGATGACGGGGGCCTGCATACCCTGTTTCTGCGGGGCTCGGCTAGGGTGGCCTTGTACAGCCTTACGGGCGTGCGGTTAAGCATGTCTCGTTGGCTTCCACCTAGCTCGGCGTGATCGACGTGGAGGGATGGGAGGGGTATCATATAAGTCGCAAGTATGGCGACCCTTTCTTTAAACGTATGTGTGCCGCCGTGCGAGGGGGTGATCATGAGGTCTGCCGGCGCATCCGTCGTCCGATGTGGAAGAGCATATATTGGGGGTCCTACCAACCAGCTTGGAATACTCCAAATCTTGGAATACATTCAGATATGGCCTCTTGATATCGGCAAGGGACGTGCGTGTCCCAAGGGCGCCACGAACAGGCCCCTGACGGCGGCCCTATATCGATCTGAAGGTGATACGGCCTCGCGATTGCGGGATTGGATTGGCGTACCATATCGGCTCAGCTCACTTATTCGACTGACCGGGCGGCGTGCTGTGGTAGGCGGGCGAGCACGGGGCCAAGCCTCAGGAAGGCAGGGTAGGTCCCTTAAAACAGGCGGGTGCTACTGCACATGGGGAGGGGATTCGTCACGTTAGAATTCGAAACATGAGACGCCTTGTCCAACCAGTCGCGATTGGAATCCACCCAGGTCACCGTTTTGCCGCAGCATCCTGCCATACCGCATGGCCTTCCATTTCGGTATGGCCATGCGAACCAACTTTGCATGCGGGGTATCGCCTTTTCCTGTCGTTTGTCCCGCAGCTTTGCCTCCATCCCCAAGTGTCGATCGCGCTATACTGTGAGCTTGATATATTGCACGATGACGCTATTTGTTGACTTGTATCGGATCGCTGGCGTCACATCATGATTGATGACCACCGTGATGAATAATATGGCGCCACGAACGGCTTGCAGCAGCCGGATCGTAGCCTCATGAGTAAGTTCGCGCCTGCTTTTGCAACACGTGCAAGCAGGCTGGGCCGAGCATGGTTCGAGCAGCTTGTGAATAGAAACCTGCAAGATTGGATGTCAGCTGCGTCTCCCAGCAGGCCCCAGGTGATGTCTGAGAAATGTAAAGCACGAATGGCGGGAAAGCCGTTTTGTAGTTCGGTTCAAGGGCCCAATAAGCTCCTACCCGGACTAACAACGGGCCCGGCCAGCCGAACACATCTGTGCAACATGCGCGCGGATGAAAATGCAAGAACACGTTGCGTTTGCGGTTCTACGAGGACCGGCCCTGCCCAGGTTTGTCGCAAGCTGTGCCGGATTCGCAGGTAGGAAACCTTCGGCATGCACGTGGTATTTGAACCTCTGAGAAGACTTCAGGAAATGTCAAAGGCAGAGCTGCTGGTCTATTGTAGCACCAGCTGTTATTCCAAAGGCCAGTGAGCGAGAACAAATAGAGAAATGATGTCATCTGGGTCCTTCGGCTTCCGCAGTGCCAAGGGTAAGCTTGGTGGAATGGCCGGGATATTGGACGAAAAGATTGAACTGTAGGGAGGGGACTTGAGAAGGAAGCAAGGAGGTCGAGGGCAGAAATCGGACGGCGAAATTTTCCAGCCATCGGTTATCGAATTCTCTCAGTTCATATAAACTCAGGAAAAGCGGCGGACTGGTTTCGCCCGGAATAAAAACCCCATATTGTGTTCCAGCCAGTTTGATATCATCGGCATTGGTCACGCTTCAGGCAGCTGGACCACCCCAAGGGGGCGAATTTCCCCCGAAACGCGATATATAGAAATGGAAATATCTCCTCTGCAGAAGGGCTCCGGTCATCGAGATGCATCGATGCCGCTTACTACCTGTGTGTGCTCGTTCGACACGGGAAACAAATCATTGTACTACTGACATGTTGCAAGAAACGCGAATAAGCTTTGCTGGTTTATTCCAAGACACTTTTTTCGATCTGGATCGAGCCAAGATTAACTTCAGAGCTAGCTGCGTCTGTTGATTTCACATCAAGCACCATCGTAGAGCCTTGCTACTGATTCTGAGTAGACCATTTGAGTCGCAATAGCTCTAACATGAATCTTTCGGACGTCTCGAGAGCACACTGATTTTCTCGTGTTGAGAATCATAGGAAGGGGGGATAGAAGTGCCCCGAGCCGGTGGCAAATTTCTAAATCTGTGATATGTTGTAAGGTATCAGCCAGCAGGTTTTGGAAGCTTCCCCGGTGGCAATGCTTGTGGCGCCGGGCGAACGGGCCACTCAACATGGTAAAGGCCAGATAGACAAACCAAAAGAGTACGAATCATCCTGTGAGATCAAAAAAAAAGCCTCTGGATATGTAGTAGCGGTCTTACGGCAATAGTGTGCGTGATTCCATGCAGGCGCAACATAGGATGAGAGAAATTCGGGGCCGCCGCATCGAGTCTCAAGGAATTCACAGAGACACGCAAAATGCATTACTATAGGATATTAAATAATATCACTGGATGAGGAATCTGGGTGGTAACGAAAAGTTAGAATTCGAACGAGCGTCGATCAATATGCCAAAAGCAGTACGTAGGTAATTAAGTACTATCTTCCCCTGGTGAACGCAACTTCCTAAAAGATGAATCACAAGGAATCAGCTTCATCCGCGCCAATAACATCTTCCTGGCTTCTCAGTTGTTGAATGCCAGTGTACTGCCAATTTGATACGTAAGTCTCGAACGCTTGCTCTCCGTGCTTCCCATTCGAAGTTGCATACACTCCTAGCACAACTCCTGCGATGTTGTTAGCTGCAGCAAGTTCATAGAAGTAGGTAATACATACCGGAGTAATACGGAACCAATTCTGTCCCCATACAATGGCCGTACACTTCCATCTCAGCTTCCTCTCCAGACCCCGCGAGCCCGGCAGAGAATGCGAAGTGGGTGCTGTTAGCTGCCTCGATCTGAAGCGAAATTTTGTGCCCTTCCCATTCTTCAGGCAGCGGGAAGGCCTCATTTGGGGGATTCTGTGTGGCACGGTACGGTGTCTCCGAGATCCCCCGGAACCGAAGGTGTGGTCGAAGTGGGCCGGAACCGTTGGACTTGAGCATCACGATGCCGAGGTCAAAGTGTTGAGCCTGATCCTGAATAGCCGACACTCCCACTTCCATCTCCTCCTTCGTCAGGGTATCGACCCAGTCTACGTCCACGCGGAAACGGAATAGCGAGTGTGCCATGCGGCGCCCGACGAAGGTCTGGCCCCGGCCCAGTGCGAAATCTGCGTCGAAAGCAGTCAAGTTGAGGACAGATGACTTGAGGGCCAGTGTGTTCTCATGGCCGGGCGGTGATACGCGGTAATTCCTTGATTTAGGCAGGCGCCAGTGAACGAAATGGATGGGAAGCTCGCTTCCCGGAGAGAAAGTGACAACATCATCTGCGTCGCTTAGCTCACCCTCGCCCTCTTCTAGGTGAGCCTCGGGAGGAAGCGGCCATCCTGACATGTCCCCGGTGACAGGGGTGAAGACTGGGAACTCGCCTTCTTCCCAGGTCACCGGCGCGAGAACTGTTTCGCGGCCCATGGGCAGGTTCCCAAAGTATGGCCCCGGCTTTTCGCCGTACGTGCCACCCGCGCGGACCGCCAGTGCGACAGCCCACCACTGACCTTTGGAGTCCTGAAAGAGATCCGCGTGTCCAACAGCTTGGAAATAGGAGCTAGTGTCGTTTGCCGAGGTGAGCAGCGGGTTCGCAGGCGCGGGCTCGAAGGGCCCAGTGAGGCTGCGGGATCTCGCCATCGTCACCATGTGGTTCTCGCGGGTGCCTCCCTCCGCGATGAGGAGGTAGTAGTGTCCGTCCCGTTTCCAGATGTGGGGTGCCTCTGGGGATGCGCCCCCAGTGCCATTCCATGGCATTATGATATCTCCGATCTCACCGGTCTCAAGGTCGAGGGGCGCATGCATGACTCCAGGGTAATAGGCTGCGGTATGAGCACCCGAGACGTACGTCTTGCCGTCATCGTCCCAGAACGGCGAGGGATCGAAGCCGGGAAAGCTGAAATGCACGGGATCAGACCAGGCGTCCGAGCTGTACGGGTCCGTCGTTGTGAGAATGAAGTTGTCCCAGCGGCTGTCATTGGTCCTTGGCAGTTGCTGATTGACAAGAGTGGAGAGAAGATAGAAGGTACCCTCGTGGAAACGAAGGGTTGGCGCATAAATTCCGCTCGTAGCTTTGGGGAGGAATGCCATCCCAGGGAGTTGGTCTGCCCGGCTGAACGCGTTGGAGACATGCTTCCAGTGGATCAAGTCTCGGCTTGCATGGATAGGGAGGCCGGGAAAGGCAAGAAAACTTGAAGTTGCGCAGAAGAATGTGTTGTTGTACTCGGGAACGAAAATGCAGCTCGGATCCGGGTTGAAGCCGCTCAGTATGGGGTTCTGAAAAGTCGAGTTCTGCGCCTGCCCAACTCCGAAGAAGGGCAGGACAGACAAGAGAAGCCTTGCCTTCATCTTGGGAGACTTGAAGTCGAGTAATTCACCGGGAAAAGTTCTTCAGCATGGACTTGCTGGAGTCTCTCGTATTGGGGCGTCCCGAAGATTGAACCTATTCATGAATGTCCAGGCCGGAAGATCTCAGTGATGGCGAACAGTGAGTAATTCTCGACCACATCAAAGGTAGAACAACTACTTTAGCTGTTCTAAGGTTTGTTCTTCACCCACGATGCGTAATCTTCTCTGCCATGAGATAGATGGTAAGGAAGCCGGATAGAGTGGTGTTGCTCGAAGAAAGCAGCCGACTGAGGTTAAATTGAACTTGAACATTAGATATACCACTGCGTTTTTCTCCTCATTCGTTGCCACATTTCCCCACATATTCATAGACAGCATGCGCTTGTTTTCCCCTCATTTGGATAATCTCTAGCTCTCCTCGTGTCATTATTGCGCGACTCGCGAATACGCCTTCGGTCAGTCTTCCGGCGATGATCCAGTCTAAATGTGCCTCAGCAACTCCAAGCACTGTAAACAGACATGCAACGCCAGAGCAACATTGAGCCAGTGCTCAACTGTGGAGAGACTGATCGTATTCTTGGAATTTCCCCAAAGAAACCCAAATGCACTTCCACCCGACCTCAGAATGCCCTCTCAATTTCCTGAGGTCAAGATGAGAACTGTGCACCTGCAGTGCAAACCTCTGTCCGGGTGGCACGCTGGAGCGGTGCGCTTTTCCGAGGCTTATCCGAATGCTAGTTGCCCGCAGGTGCCATTCCCGGGCGGAACTTTCCACGCTGTAGACCAAGCTCTTGGCATAGGTTACTAGAAACTTGTTAGTTGCGATGTGCATTGTTTTCATGGCGACTTGCCCAGGCGTCGTGGTTCTTGGGTAGGTAGTGTATTGTACATAAATAAGGCTCATTGACCCCCCCCCCCTTTGGAAAGTTCAGGGAAGCGACCCAGAAATGAACCGTTCAAATCCATGAGTCCGGCGCAGGATCGGCGACTCCGATTTGAAGCTCTAAGTCAATGTCATGCAGGTCTACTTAGCATTGTATTGTTTAAACGCTGGGTCTTGAGCCTTTGCCACCCAATGAAGGCGCCGCATACGTTTTATGTGTATGGGCATTAGAAACCAGACCACTCAGATCTAGATCAGAAGCATTTCTATGAAGCGGATGTGTTCAGTGGGATTCAACAGTCTCCTGCATCTTGTAAGATGGTATTCCATAGGAGAGTACCCCATGGGAGAGCATCCCGTAGGAGGTTGTCCTTTAGTCATCTAAGAGTTATTCCATTTGGAGTGGCGTACGACCTCCGTGAGACGTCGAAATGAAGAGGGTCAACAACCCCTCCCACAAGCCTCGACAGCCCGTCTGCCATCTCAAGTGCTGCATCACCCGGGTGGTGTTTGGTCGGTGAACCAGGCGTAGGTTGAAAGTGGCTATAGTGTCCAGCCATGTTGCAATCCGCCCAGAAGGTTTCCCCTCGACCGCCAAGGTCGATATTATGTTTAGGTGATCCGTGTATACAATTGTTGGGAACCGAGACGGTAGAATGTGCTCTTGGGTTTCCTGCAAGGCTTTGATCACTCCCAGGGTCTCTCTTTCTCCAGTAGTATACCTGGTTTCCGGATCCGAGATAAGATAGTGATCTCTGGGAGGATAAGGAATAACGCGCCTTCATACAGTGGTAAACGCGCAAGACCCACTGGCAGCGTCTAAAAAAAGTATAGTGCCAATAACAGTGTAGAGAGAATACAGTACGTCTGTGGGCACGTGGCCTCAGCCTCGTGCCGTATAGATAAGGCTGGAAGGCATCGCTCCCGACGGCGCCGCTCATCGTCGACATAAGTATCCCAAGGGCCAATTTACCATGGTAATATAATTGAAAGCGGCGAAGCAGTTATATTATATACGTACACTTTACGAACCATTAGCCTCAAGCTAGTTGCAGCAAGTTAGCTAATATTGCGGGGAAAGACTGGCCGAGGCCTCATGGATTACCTACTGAGTAGGTAGGCTTGGAGTTTCGCTCCAAGCACCCAGACCCGCGAGTTCGCTCGCGTCTGCTTCGGCGTTTAGCCATGTCAACCGTCGTGCTTAGGAGTCCACGTTGTAAATGGCTCACAGTCCATAGTTCGTATAACTGCTTCGAGTGTTGATATCCAGGTTTAGATAGCATGTGATAGACTAGGACTGGTTGGCTACACTCCAAGAGAAAACTATAAAGTTCCCCAAGATCCTCTCTCTTTCCGTCTTCGTTATTCCCATTTTCTATCCTCTATATCTTCAGCCTCGGAATCACACTCACCTTGACCACAAACTCAACTCTACACGCCAGACTTTTATCTACCCACTCAAACCAACGACTGTGTACACAAGATGCGTTTGGACATCCTCCTCCTTGTCACAGCAGTAGCTGCTGCTGCCGTCGACCCACTCCTCCCCGGGGGTGACAATGATCTCCTCCCCAGGGATGACAATGACCTCCTCCCCAGGGGTGACAAGGTTGTCCTCCCGCAACCGGCGACTAAGGAGTTATGTGACAAAAAGAGGGAAAAAGATCCCAAATGTAAATGTGACAAGAAGTCTAAATTGAGAGGCCCGTGGAAGAAGTGTGTGCAGCTGCCAAGCTGCAAGGCCTGTGACATCCCCTGCAACGGTAGAAAATGTCCTAAGAATCTGTGAAGCTGGGTGAGTGCCATGACAGATAATATCGCTGATTCCGAATTGCATACCAGCTTGCAGACGAGATACTAATAGCACACTCAGGTCCTATTGGTTCCCTTTTTTCGTGGCACTATCATGGCGGGTTGGTCATTGAGGGACAAAGGAGGTTATTTTCTCTGTGGACATCATGTATCAACCAGGCCTATTTATTCCGGACGCGTGGGATAGATGAATTTTACGGGATTTTGTTGTGGGATCTGATGGATCTATGCGTAGTAGGGGTATGAGAAACAATAGACCCAAAATTTACTTTGAGCCTGTGCAAATCGCTGCTGTGTTCAGCCCGTTAACTCCATGATGGCGTTCCTGACGCGGCTGATGTTTGCCTCCATGTCCCATGTTTGATTTAATTACATGGACTGACGTCCCACATCTCTTATTGCTCTCCAATTTAACACTGGTTTGGCTTTTGTTTCGTATACGTCATAATACAAGGCGCCTTGGTCCAGCACTTAACGTTCAAGACCAAGCGTTTCCAAAACATATGGTATCAATAATGGTGGTGAAATTACGATAGTTGTGCGTGGCCTCAGGCTTGTGACGTATAGATAGAGAACGGATATTCGCACAGGAACAAACGGCTGGTACACAGGTACAGTCTTTCCTTCTAGGCAGCAGCCAATTAGAGGGCTTTATTCAACCTTCCCTAACTATATGCACCACCTATATAAAGTACTTTTTATACCCCCTATACAGACCTATACTAGCCTTACTAGTAATAATGGTATCAACACCTAGGCTAGTAGCTAAAAAGCCCTATATAAAGACTTATAGGACTATTAACTAGTTACTATAGGTTAACCTTACTATAGAGGACCTCGTTAATAACGAGAAGGAGATATATAATGAGATTCTAGTACTTAGGGACTTACTAGAGCGCCCTAGGCAACAACGAGGAAAGAAGTAGTAACAAACTATTAGACTAAAAGTAATAATAGGAGGATTAAAAGTATAGTTAATAAGTGTAAATTTCGGTTTTATATAGTGAGTGGGTGGTGCAAATTAAGGTTGGCGCACTGGGGGGCATTTGTACCTGTGTACCAGCCGTTTGTTCCTGTGCGAATATCCGTTCTCGATAGATAAGGCTAAGGGGCACCGTTCCACTTTGTAAACATCATGCAGGACCACTAGCCTTACACGGTCGTCTCGACAGGCCCAAACTATGGAGGTGAAAAGATAAGTGTCATCTCACTAAATCAGGTCTCCAACTCGGAACTACATAATATTAATCTCTGTTCGGACGGCTCCTCCAAGCTCATGAATCTCCATTGCGGTGACTAACGCGATCGTATTCGGGCCTAGTCCATCGTAAAGGATGCTGACCCCGCTTCCAAGCAAGATACTAGTACGAGACGGTGTTGATCGTGCTCAAGAGCTGTGCAAGACGACTCATACCGGAGATCGCGAAGATTCTGCTTCTGCTTCTCTTCCATGTCCTGTTTCTCCTCGTCCCCGGGCCTGCTATCGCTACCTCGCCTCGCAGTTATGCGCGCTGTGTTTTCATGCAAGTCTTGTTGTTATTTTTTATTTATGACATTGTATTAATTAGACGAATTTTCTGATAATGTTGTATTAGTTGATCCCCTGAGGTGGGACCTCTATGTGTGAATGTGGGTGTGTGTGGTTAGAATTCAAGCTTGAGGTTGGTCGGAATTTAGGCTAGGCATGTCAAAACACCCTATGCTCTTTCTTGTGGACATGAGAAGAAAGAAGAAGAAGAAGAAAAAAAGACACACAACTGGGGTCACGAAACACCGACACATAGACACACTCGCAGCTTGGCAGTATTTCGAGTGCCCAATTACACCCGTGGCCGTTGACAGGAAGCAGGAACAATATCAGGCCAAACAAGGATATGGATGCCAATGGAATGGGTGACACTCCCGGCGACCAACGAATCAATTGACTCAACGAAACGTTGATGGTGACCGGGTTTTTTGGGTACGTGTTTGAATTCAAAGCGCACTACGGTCACTTCGCCTCATCTGATGCTAATGCAACAGGGCCCCAGGCTGCAGGCCTGCAAACGTGACTGCGATCTCGGATGAGACCGACGGCGGTGTCCAGGGTGGGAAGGCTCAGCGAGTGAGTCGACAACGGGCTGGACCGGTCTGACACGTCTGCACGTCCCACTGCCGCTTATCTCGCGAGCCTCCTGTGCGGTACTCCATACATTTGGTTAGGTACCTAGGTACCTGATAAGGCGGGGTACGGCCGCAAATCCCCCACCTCGAAACTTTTGGCAGCTCCCTTGGGCAGTGACCAAGCCGGGCTGTACAAAACCAAAACATCCCTCGATCCGTCGCGCACACGACAAGCTGCCCTCTCGACCCCCGACTCCCCCTGCATAAATCCTCGTCCGTCTCGGTGACAAGCCAACGCCATGGCCGACTCCAAGAACAAGGCGGCCAAGCTGGTCGGCATCACGGTGCCCAAGGAGACCAATTGCGGTCAGTGGTATGTCGAGACCGTGCAGAAGGCAGAGCTGGTCGAGTACTACTCTGAGGTGAGTTTGGCCCTGCTGCTGCTGCCCTTTTCTCCTGCTGCTTGAATTCAGCTGATCGCCGCCTCAACTCCCGTGCAGATCTCCGGTTTCTACATCCTGCGACGTGCGTAAACAATGCGATTGACCCCCTCCGCGAGCGCCCGTTGACCATGACTCACAGCTCCTGCGATGCACATCTGGACCGCCATCCGCAAGTACTTCCAGGACCACATCGAGCCCATGGGCGTGCAAGAAGCCAGCTTCCCTATGTTCTTGTCTGCCACGTCGCTGGCCAAGGTAAGGCGCACACCGCCCTACACACACACAAGCCAGAGCTGACACGTCGCGACCGCAGGAGAAGTACGGCATCCACAACGTTGCGAGCACACGAGGGCCTGCAGAAGCTGATTGAAGTAGGGAGCACGTCGAAGGGTTTGCGCCGGAGCTGGCATGGGTCACGAAAGCGTATGTTTAATGGTCAGGGGGTGACGACGGGGAGTCCACTTCTGTTCTCCAGGCAGCTAACGATGGCTTCGCAGAGGAGACAAGGACCTTGAGGTCTGCTTCCGCCCCTCCACGATTCTTGCCACACCCCGACTGACGACGAGCAGGTCCCCGTCGCCGTGCGTCCCACCTCCGAAGCTGTCATGTACCCATACTACGCCAAGTGGATTCGCTCCCACCGCGACCTGCCCCTGCGCCTGAACCAGTGGAACAACGTCGTGCGCTGGGAAGCCAAGCAGACAACCCCATTCCTCCGTGCCCGCGAGTTCCTGTGGCAGGAGGGACACACCGCCCACCTTACCGAGGAGCTCGCCTCCGAGGAGGTCCTCCAGATCCTCGACGTCTACGCCGCCATCTTCGAGAAGCTGCTGGCGGTTCCCGTGGTCAAGGGCAAGAAGACGGAGGCTGAGAAGTTTGCTGGTGCTCACTGGACCTCCACCTGTGAGGCTTTCGTCCCGGCAAACGGACGAGGAATCCAGGGAGCTACCTCCCAGTGAGATATTACCAATGCGTCCCGTGCTCTTGGCTCAATTGGCCATGCTAACGCCGTGCAGCGCCCTCGGACAGAACTTCAGCAAGATGTTCGGCATCACGGTCGAGGACCCCGACAAGAAGGGAAACCACCTCCACGTCTGGCAAAACTCCTGGTACGCTTCGAACAGCTCGCCTTCGCCATGAATTGGGTCCCATCTGACATGTCACAGGGGTCTTTCCACCCGAGTCATCGGCGTCATGATCATGGTCCACGGTGACGACAAGGGTCTTGTTCTCCCTCCCAGAGTTGCCAGCCTCCAAACAGTCATCATCCCAGTCGGCCTCAACGCCAAGACGAAGCCCGAGGATAGAACTGCGCACATGGAGAAGATCCAGGAGTTGAAGGCCACCCTGCAGAAGGCCGGTGTCCGCGTTCACGTTGATGACCGCGAGGGATAGTCAGCCTCCCCCATCCCTACGAACACTGTATTGGTGCTGCGACGAATTGCTAATGATTCAACAGCACCCCCGGCTTCAAGTTCTCCGACTGGGAGATGCGCGGCGTCCCTCTGCGTCTCGAGTTCGGCATGCGCGATGCCGCAGCTGGTGTCGTCGTCACATCCCGCCGCGACAACGGCGAGAAGGGCACCATCCCCGTCGGCGAGCTGAGCACCCAGGTGCCAGCCCTGCTCGAGAAGATCCAGGAGGACATGTTCGCCAAGGCCTCGGCCGTCTACGAGTCCCGCCGCCTCAAGCTGACCGAGTGGGAGCGCGTCGTGCCCGCCCTCGACAGCCGCAACGTCGTCATCATCCCCTTCTGCGGCGGGGTCAAGTGCGAGGACCGCATCAAGGAGCTCACCCGCAGCGAGCCCGAGGAGGACGAGAACGGGCGCAAGATGCCGGGCATGGGCATGAAGAGCCTGTGCACCCCCTTTGAGCAGCCCGAGGGGCTCACGGCAGAGACCAAGTGCCTGAACCCCGAGTGCGATGGTCTTGCCAAGGCTTGGACCATGTTCGGGCGTAGTTACTAGTGGATTTGGGCGAGGGGAGGGCGGCGTCGATAGACCTTTCCGTAGCTGACAGATGCACGAGAACCTGAATGAAGATACTTCACCCCCACCCCCATAGGACACACTCCTATGGCCGGCCCTCTATAGAACACTCTCCCATGGGACAGCCTTCTATAACAAACTCTTTCTCTGGGACAGGCTCCCATAGGACTCCCCCCACAGGATAACCCCCATAGGACACACTCCTGTGGGGCACTCTCTCCTCTGGGACAGGCTCCTATGGGACATCCTCTGGGACAGGCTCTCTAGGATATCCTCTTATAAGACATACTCTTATAAGACAGCCCCCCATAGGCCACACTCCTATGCGGCACTCTCTCCTCTGGGACAGGCTCTCAGAGGACCCCCCATGGGACACACTCCTATGGGGCAATTTGTTCTCTGGGACAGGCTCCTAGATGATATCCTCTTATCAGAAATACTCTTATGAGATACGCTCCCATAGGACACACTCCTGTGGGGCACTCTCTCTTCTGGGAAAGGCTCCTATGGGACTCCCCCCAACCCCCATAGGACACACTCCTATGGGCATTCTCTCCTCTGGGACAGGCTCCTAGGGGGACCCCGTAGGACACACTCCTATCGGGCACTGGAGGGTGGTCCCACGGCACCGGATCCATCGGTACAAACCTCAAGTGCTTGCCTGGTGCTTGTCGCCCACAAAATGGCCCTGGCCCGCGGGTGAGGCCGTGGGATGATGGCGGTCTTCTCTTGCATCATTGGGCTTGAGGTCTACAGGCCACAGGGGTGAATGGATCCGTCTGGATGTCGTTTTTTGAACGGCCTCGAGGAAATGGCTGTGCTAGTGGAACAAGGTCGCCGACGGTACTGCCCTGCTATGTAGGTGGTGCCAGTGCGTCCCGGCTGTGTTTGATGGAACGTTCGACATGCGGGCTTTTGGGGTGTTGTGATTCGACCGATAGATCTCGACGTTACGCAGTTCTGTACGTTGTGGCTTGCGCTCGACCACGTCACCTCATCTCCAGCCAGCTGACCCGTCCAGAACCATCTCGGCGCATTGCAAAGCCAGGCCTGAGCCCTACACAGATCGGATCCCACAGCACAGCATGCTTGAAGTCTGGATATCGTCAACGGAACCGGGCATGGCCCCTACATTTATGAGACTCTGACGACATCGATCCACCCTGTTCGTGTCCTCACTCTAGCCCAGCCCGAAGACGCCAGTGCCGGCCGCTTTTGAGTGCTCGATTGACCCCGCCGGGTGCACATCGACCACCTAGTCAAGGAGTATAGAGCAATTTTACACACGTGGGGCTGATCAGGGAAGGACCACGGGGCCGGGAGGTTCATATGGTATGCGACGGAGCAGTAGTCTCATCCACCTCCGACCTTGCTCCGGCCCTGCTCTGCCTCGGGTACCGCACAAGATCTCCCACTCGTATGCCCTGGACCGACGCTGTGTTTTGATCAAGAGGATCTTACTGGGAAGGCCAGCAGACTACTCTTATGGCTAGAATCTTCCGGTTCACAGTTCAGGTCAAAGTATGACTGGGGGACGGCAACGACAGTGAGCCGAGCTCTTCACGATCTTGCCTCTCTTCAAAGAACAGCAGGCCAAACAGGGTCGGATCCGGATCACCGTCAGAAGTGGACCGGCCGATCCCTCGTCGATACAGGGAGATCAGCGAAGAGCCTTCTGAGCTGGGACATGTGGGATATGATATGGCCATTTGGATAAGGGAGCCTGAGGGCCCATAACACACGACACTGTGTGACACTCATGGACGTTGAAGTTGACCACATGCTGTGGTCTCCACTCTGGAGCCAATCACTGAGTGAGGGTGGCCCTGGGTTTGTCAATCGTGTAGGCTTCACGGAGGAGTGGCAGCCTCTGTCCTGGAATCAGAGCGGAAAAGGCCAATTTTCACTCCGTACTATCAGAGTATTATCCACAAGGGGAGTTTGTTTCGGACACCCGTAGTAGGCATTGGAGATGAGCCTCGACTTGCCGTTCACCGTCGCAATCATAGCCATATGTCTTGATTTCGACCATCCTCATTTTGAGACCCTGTTCGCGGTCCGAGGACAGCTCGAGGTTCAAGTTGTTGTCTATGACGTACTAGCCAGGGGACCCTTTTCAAAGAAACTCTTGGCACTACGGCACGGCCACGTTCTCATCGACTGGCAGCCGGACATCTTCGCCGGCCCACTGGTACAAGATCAAGACCAACATGAACAGATTTTCATCTCGGCGTCTGGACAATATCAAACGGAATCATGAGGTCTTGACCGAACTCGGAGCAGTGGCGCAGGCCGAGGCGATCCACCGGTCGAGTCACCCGGACAGAGTCACCAGCGGCACGAAAGATGCGCGTGCCACCAAGAGGAGGCGAGTGCAGAAGCCGACAGCCTCAGCTGTTCCCACTCGCACTTCAGCCCGGATAGCATCAGCTCCGGTCAGGCCAGATTACGATGACGATAGGGGCACCACCGACGCTGGAGCAGGGACCAAAGCGCCATCAAGAAAGGCCGGCAAGAAAGGAAGGGCCACAAAAAGCCGCGGGCAGCCCGACGACGACAGCGGAAGCCCTGATGCCATCCAAGACGACCTCACAGGGGACATCACCGCCCTCGAGGCCTCCTGGTCCTCGTGGACGCCCACAGAGCCGCCCCCCGACCGCGACGAGACAGGCGTGCTCCACTTCGCCTCCCACCCGGGCTTCACGCCCAACAAGACGCCAGCCGAGGTCCTGCGCGAGGGCGCCTTCGGCGGGTCCTACTTCCGGCCCCTGTACTCCAAGAAGCTGCGCACGACCGTCTCGGGCGACCACGCCGAGCTCCCCGCGGCCTGGACGGCGGGGCTCGACGCGGCGCGGTACCTGACGGCGCCGGGGTACGACGCGGACGCCAACAAGTTCAAGGTCGCGTGCGGGCAGAGCATCGAGGAGTGGGAGGCCGCCGGGTGGATCGACCACCGCTTCGACGCTCGGGGTTGGTTCCAGTGGTACTGCCGCTTCTACCGGGGGCGGCGGTGCGCCGACGACGACAGGCAGGTCGGGCGGTGGAGGCGGTGTGTTGGCGAGACGGGGCGGTGGCGGCGCATGTTGCTTAAGAAATATGTCGCCGCTGGGGTCCGGGAGGTCTGGGACGACGGGGCTGATGAGGATGCGCCCGAGGTCAGCCCTGTTATGCATCAGACCTGCCATCATTGGGCCTTTGAGGTCACGCAGGATGTTTTGGATGAGTATTGGAGGACTGGGAGGTGATAAGAGGACTGGGGATCAATTGTTCGAGGGTAGAGTGCAATGTTTCGACCATGTGATGTTGGTCTCTAGTGACAGCTGAGTATTATGGAACTCAGCCTCTGCTTGATGGCACAATAATGGAGTCCCAACGCTGACAATTATCATTCCATCGATTCTTGCGTGGTTCGACTTCCTTGCAATATGGGCATCTCAGTCGATCCATGCCCCCGGCACACGCATGTTTGCTGTTGTGCTATCAATTTCAACAAGACGCCAGAAATCCCCTGCAAACTCATCCGAGGGTTCATTCCACCAAAACTTCCAATCCTTTGGGAGCTCGCCATACTGAAACCTGATCAGACGAAGTGATCGTACCAGACGATATTTATCCTCCACCTCCAGCACAGGACCCGTGGGACCCGAGTGCGCATTGACACTGGGGATCACGAGAGGAATTTGGGAACCTTCCCATTTCCTCTCTTGTCCCTGGTACAGATACCACAGATACCCTTCATTCCTTCCGTACTCTACCAAGTCGATACCGCTTTTGTGGAGATCCTCAAGCCATGCCGTGATTGATTTCTCACACGCAGACGTAACTGCGCCTAGCGGCTTTGACCGGCTATGCCCCGGCAAATCCGTGCAAACCGCTTGCCAACATATGCTTTCTGATATCAGTGACGAGTATGCGGTCTTCCGATCGATTTGTTCACACGGGATCCTGAAAGATCGGTCGCCCTCTCGGCTCAAGTCCTTAACGTCCGTCACGTGTGCAAGGACTTCGCAAATAAGGCCATGCCAGGCAGCGGAGTTTTGGGATTCTGAAGTAGCCGCAACCTTACTGGCCAAGCCGTGGAAGATTGACCTTCTCATGCTGTTACAAACACTGAGGTCTATAACAGGCTGAGAATCCCCAGTGTTGAATCCCAAGATGGATCGGATCTTCGATGGTCCCGACGGCTCGACCTCCAGCTCTTCAGAACATGCTATCGAAATAGCAAACTGCATTCTTTGCTGCGAGAAATCGGGATGGTAGAAGCTCTTATCGGGCCAGATTGAGCTCTTGAGAGTTTGAAACTCATTGAAAGCTCCCTGGAACCCACTTAACAATGCGAACTTGAGCCCATTGTCGTCATCAAGTCGGTCTAGGAGTTTTCGACGCTCGGCCTGCCTACCCTGCTCCGCTTCGACAGCACGTCTCATGAACACATGTCCAGATCCCACAATATCATGAACGAGCCAGCTCTGACTCTCCTGTAATCTCTGTTAGCTGCTGGGGTCGAATGCACCGAGCCGGCATGACAGTCAGCCTTTGATGGGTAGATTGATTGACCTTGTGTATCGGCAGTTTTGGAGGGGGTTCGGCCCCAAGGTCCATCAAATAGTTGCAGATTTGCCACCGGCCATAGCACAGCGCCGTCTAGTATCATGTTCACATTAGAGTTTCGGGACGGAATGAGAACAACAGCACATGTTGGGGTAACTCACTACCCACATCATTTCGCCCCTCTCGTCCTCATCCCATGGAGTCACCTCTCGGTTCTCAATTCTGGCTCTCAAAAGTTGTATATCATCAAAAAATATGTCTTCGCATGCTAGGTAGAATGGCGAATCCGGTGTGTTGTCCAGCCGTGGGAAAACGTTTCGCATACGTATATACTGTTTCCATCCGATGCGCGATCTGCAGGAAATTACCTCCAACATTTTATTAGACATCCAACGAGGAAACTTGAATCTGACCCGTATATCTCGAAAGATATTTTCATTCCGACGCTGAGTCACCGTACAATCAGGGCCGGAGCAATCATGATCCCGATCTGGGCAGTCGTTGCTTTCGAAATGAAGAGTTCCTGTCACAAATGGCACGCCAACTGTCCAGGTCCACCTCGGTCTTCTATCGACCGTCTGCATCAAACTCCACATGTTTGAATCTTTTAGAACGATTGTTGAGCCGCCATGGGTACGAATATTGCTTCCTTTTGTCATGGCTCCTTGGGGATCGATACAGCTTGGTTTCAGTGTGGCCGATGGCGTTGCGCGGACTGGTCCATCGGCTTGGCTGAAGTGGGTCTTCAGGAGAGACCTGGATGTGGTCGGCGGTGAGTGGATCACAGCTAACTCTCACAATACTTTTGAGGAACTTACATCATGAAGTCCTGATTTTGAAGTATCAAGCCATAGCTCGACGCCATGTGGCTATTAGCAGCCAGCTGGAGCAACTGGACCGACCTACAGAGCCGGTCGTCGAGCTTCTGTATCAGCTGCTTCTTGAATACCACTTTTGTGGACGCCACCTTGTGTCTTATCCCTCTGGACTTCGTGACCTGTGCCTCCAGTTCCAGGAGGACAAGACTGAGCTCCGAGAGACAGCGTTCACAGAAGTTCGCGACATCCGGCGAGGCCGAGTTCGAGTGGCTGAGGATACCCGCAAGCAGGCGGATCTCGTGCAGGCGGAAAGCGAGCTCCTCGGGTGCGCCTTGGATCTCCTGGTACAGTGCCCGTATCTTGAGTCCAATGCCGGCTATCTGTCCTGCGAGCCCTGCGATTTGGACGCTGCTGGCGATGATCCCGAGTACTTCGGCCATTTGGGATCAATAATGAAGTTTTTTCAAGCGATGGCTCTCGAACTGGCGGATATGCTATCTTGATGTTGCCTATTTTGTTGACCGGTGGGAGAAGTGGAGAAATTTCTTGGAAGTGACCAGTTGCTTCAGGCCCCCAAACCAGTGAATTAACCGGAGCAATGTCGGGCCACGGGATCTTTTCACTGCCACAGGCGGCCTCTCGCCCATGGTAACACTGCATCATGCTGTGTATCATATTTGACCCCTCATTGAGATCAAGGCAGTCGTTGGCGCCAGAAGGAGTGGTGGTGTCTTCACTCTGCCCAGGCCATACCTCACCGCGTGCCCGGCCTTGGGTCCGGCCATGGACTGAAAAGTCTGAGCTGTGGTATTCCCAGGACAAAGAAGAGTTATGTTCTAGAGTTCATACAATTAACCCTGATAAAAACAAACTACAACATATACCTCAGAGTGTATTCTGCAACTTTGCACCAAGTTGAGCATCGCAGCACATGTTATTAATGGGACATGACTTCAGTTAAACATCATACCCCGTTGGGTCCGGCCATGAATGAGACCATCTCACAAAAAGTTGCAAATTAGGAGGGTATGCTACTAGTATACCATCGAGTGGTCTACCAGCACTACCTAAGTGATTTGAAGTAGTGGGGATCGCCCCCAAAATGTAGTAGGATATAAATATGTTCTAAGAAACAGGAAACTACCAAGGATCATCAAGGCGTCGACTCAATACCTCCTCTTATCATGCCGCCGTATCACTCTTGGCCTTATCTCGCTGCCATCAACTTTTGGTCATTATCTGACAGCGAAGGCGCCAATCATCTAAAACTGGAACTGTTCACACAGAGACCTGCCCTCATACTGCTCTCCACCCTCGATACCACCAGAGATGGGCCCGAGGAGCCTCTTGTAGAATCCACCAAGATCCCACTGGACGGTCTCGGTTGTGAAGTTGGCGAGGAACTTGGTGCCGTCGTCCATGTCAAAGCTGATGTTGAAACCAGATGGTGCAGCCTGCCCGATTGCTGGCGGGAAGTCGCTGTTGTCTCCCCAGGGCCTGACGAGTGTTGCCTGGTCTGCGCAGCTCATGGACAGAACCTCGCCGTCCTTCGTGACCCACGACGAGAAGTGTTCTTGGCCAGTCTTGTCTGTAGCATCGAACCATACGAGCGAGTATGGCCCAACCCTGCCGTGGCCCCAGTACCAGGTCTTAGTAGCTGCCTCTAGAGAGCCGACGCCCCAGTTCTTGTCGTGGTAGCCAAAGCCCTGGAGGTTGAAGGTCTCGCCATCGATGACCAGGTCCGCAACTACGTTGGAATCTGGAATGGCGTTGGCCCACCAGATGTTAGGCAGGAGGAACTCTGACACGCCGGGCTTGTTCAAGTCGCACGGGTAATGAGGTGGCGAGACCGATTCGAACTTGATTGAGCCGCTGACGCCGTTGGCTGGGTCGTCGATCTCAATGTTGTAGACTGGGTTGGGGGCACCCGGTTCCAGACTGGTACCAGTGAAACTATACGAGCTGTTTTCACCCTTGAATTCGGCCGCGATCCCTTTGTTGCTGACCTCCAGGGGTGCACCGAGGTTTGCTGCAGCATATTTCCTGGAAGTTGTACCGTTTGCGAATGTGATCGAGATGTCGGTAGTGAGCGGTCCTCCAAAGTATGGGATCGCCAGGGAGCCATTTGCAAAATTATAAAAAACAAGCGTGACTGCTTTCTGATCTGTAGCCGAGACAGCATCGAAGTACCACCTAAATATAGTGCATAAGCTTCATTATCAATATAGTGCACACAATCCGAGCACCTACCAGTCATAGGAGGTTCCGTTCACGCCGGGGGACAGCTTCGGTAGATCCAGCCCGCCCTTGACGGATACTTCCTCTGGGGTTGTGATGCCATCAAAGATACTGAAAGGCAGCTCGGATTTGGTAACGCCGCCGGACGGGCTTGCTCGCGCCAGGCTGGCCGTGAGCAAGGCGGAGCCGAGAAGAGAGATGGAGTACACCATTTTCGTGCGATAGCCCCACTTGTAGAAGGGGGGGACAGCCTTGGAGTGTTCGAGGTTTTCGTAGTACTTTCGAGATGAGGATGAGGGTTATCACATTGAATCAAGCCACAACAGCCGTCGAGCTACTTTATATATACTTCTTTCGACTGTGTACAGACAGCATGCTTTCATTCTACTACTAGCGATCAGTTCGACTGCGCTTTGCATCTTCTCCTTTACTGGGACATCGTAAATTTCCGGTCCCGCCGTCCCCCAGGGCACGAGGTGTCGGGCGTCGGCCCTTTCACCAATAGAAATGTTGGCACAAAACCTCGGGCTTCGGTGGTTCCATCTCTGACCCTGTATTTGGAAGTGAAAATCGTCATCGGCTTCTTAGGGCGGACTGTTGCACTCTTCCGGGTCACACCCATGACTCAAAATCGCTCGTACTACACGCATAACAATGACACGCGGCATGCTGTTTAGCGTCCGGGCAGACCGGCCAGCGCTGCCGGCTTGCTGTTGTGGAGGACTACAATAACCCGCGGGCAGCCCGTCCTCGCCGCCAAGGAGCTGGCCGTTGCGGAGGACTACAACAACCCGTGGGCAGCCCGTCCTCGCCGCCAAGGGGCTTGCCGTTGCGGAGGACTACAATAATCCGTGGTGTAGGCCGTCCTCGCTGCCAAGGGGACCGACCCACCCTGCCCAGCCGCCCTCGCCAGCAAGGGAACCCTGCCTGGTAAGTTCCAGCGCTGTTGACAATAAGCCTGTACTCTCACGAAGCTTTTCCACCACATGGTGTTATCGACGCCGTCCACGGGTATTTTGTTTGGAAGAACTCTAACGTCGGGGTTTTGAGCCTCAACGTTTGTATGATGTGGCTATTTGGCGGCACCATGTATATGGTGTCTCCGTACTTAAGTAACTTTAGGTGGTTTCGCTTCTACCCCGTATACGGATACGTCCGAGGACATACACAGCGCCTTTATACGGCGGTAAGTACTCAAGACTCACTGATCATCAGCGCTTGAAAAGAACACGTTATCGATAATGATAGTCATAATACGATACTAGTGCTTGTGGCCTTAGCCTTGCGACTCACAGACAAGGCTAAGGGGCACCGTCTTGACGCCAAGTAACTTTAGAAAACGGGTTAACAACAGAATCAGTCTCTGCCCGGGCGGCTTCCCCGTGGGCACACCTGTTATCTGTGATTCATAGAGATCACAGATTCAAGGAAAATACATCATTATAAACTAATCCACTATCCAAGTTCCTAAAGGGCAATTAAAGTCCACCATCTCTACCCAAGTACAGCTGGTAAAGAATGCATTAACATCTTATTTCAGGCCTAACACAGCACGTCTAGCTCAATATTCGATGTCAGTCTTCTTGTTTAAACAGCCTGAGGTTTGCCGTTAACGTAATAATGCAGCAAAGTGTGAGAAAACAACCCGGGAAGGTTGCAGGAAACGACTGAAAACGATCTACATACCGTGCGCTGTTCTGAAGCCAGTCGAGAGGAGAAATGGCGTGAACACAAGCTTCTGAAGCCCGTCGTCTCATGCTTGACCCGCTCGACTCTCATCCGTGTTCCTGCGGGTGCGGCCGAAACGCGCCTCTAGCTTGATCCGCGGCAGAGTCTGACATCAGACGAAACATCGAACTTGGGCTAATCCACCATGATCCACAACGACTGTTCGCGAGGAGCAATAAATATCAGCTCGTCTCCTCATTGAATAATACTCTTGCCGTTTATGTCCCTGGTGCAGGTGCATCTGAACACGATCTCCTCCCAGTGCTTTACAACAACATGGTCCGTCCTCATTTGGCTCTACAGACGCTTTCTGCTTTAATTTTGAACCCATCGCTCGTTTCAGCATCCAGCACTCCCTTCGAGTCTCTTCACCAGGTTCCACGTGGCTGGACCCGCGTACGGAGTGCTGGAACAACGGAAAACATCAGGTTGAGGGTCTCATTGAGACAGCAGAACCTCGACGAATTTTATGACAAGCTATTGCAAGTCTCGACACCAGACCATCCTCAATATGGCAGGCACTATGAGGGACACGAGCTGCGGAGTCTACTAAAGCCCAGCGATGAGGCATCAGCGACTGCGATCAGCTGGCTGCAGGATAACAATGTCACTGATATCCTGGATGACGGGGACTACCTCATGTTCCGCACCACAGTCGGACTGGCAAATAAATTGCTGGATACACAGTTCGACTGGTACCAAGGCGAGGACGGCGAGCAGATGATGAGGACCATCAGGTACTCTGTTCCGCAGGACGTTGCAGCGCACATCAACTTTGTCCAGCCGACAACGCGGTTCGGCACTGCGAAGCGACTCGCCTCCCATGTCAGCATCGTGGATCCCGGTGCCCCAGCCGACGGGACCTCGAAATGGGTTTCGGTAGCTGATAACATCAGGGTGAACGCTGCCAGCGCGGTAGACCCCTCCTGCAATACAGCGGTCACGCCACAGTGTCTGTTCCAGCTGTACAATGTCAACTTCAAGGCGGATCCAGCTGGCGGAAATACGGTTGGGTACGCCTCCTTCGTAAACGAGTCTGCCAGATTTACCGATATGGCTATGTTCGAGCAGGTGTACGCACCATATGCAGCAAATAGAAATGTGAGTCGAGGTTTTTGTCCCCTGCAGGGGTTTTCTATGTTGATGACAGGCTGACCTCAACCAGTTCTCGGTCGTGACCATGAACGGCGGAATCAACGACCAGACCAGCCAAGCCGACTCAGGCGAGGCGAATCTGGACCAGCAGTACGTCCTTGCCGTTGGCTTTGACGTGCCAGTAACAGAGTTCAGCGTGGGCGGTCTTGGCCAGTTGGTCCCGGACGGGGAGTCGCCGACGCAGGAATCCAACTCCAACGAGCCGTTTTTGGAGTGGCTCATCGCGCTGAGCGCCATGGACAACAGCCAGATTCCAAACTCGATCTCCGTCTCGTACGGCGAGAACGAGCAGGAGATCCCGCTGTCCTATGCGACACAGGTCTGCAACATGTTCGCGCAGTTGGGTGCTCGCGGAAAGTCGATCTTGATCGCGTCGGGGGACTCCGGCGTGGGATCATTCTGCCAGGCCAACGACGGAACGAATGCGACCAGATTCCAACCTCAGTTCCCGGCTTCATGCCCGTATGTCACAGCTGTGGGCGGAGTAAGTACACAGAAGATGTGACAATGGTGAAGCCAGAATCAACACAGAAAGACATCCTGACAATCTACTAGACGCAAGGCATCTCGCCAGAAACAGCCACCTTCTTCTCCTCGGGCGGTTTCTCGAACGTCTGGCCGCGCCCGGCATACCAAGAACAGGCCGTGTCGACCTACCTGCAAACGAACGGCAACAACTTCACCGGGCTGTTCAACGCCACCGGCCGGGGCTTCCCAGACGTCGCCGCGCAGTCGGTCAATTACCGCATCATCGACAAGGGCAGCGACAGCGCGGTACAGGGCACCTCGGCGGCGGCGCCGACGTTCAACGGCATCGTGGCGCTGCTCAACTCAGCCCGCCTGCAGTCCGGCCAGCCCACGTTGGGGTTCCTCAACCCGTGGCTCTACTCGACTGCGTCGGCTGCGATGAACGATGTCACTACCGGGGCCTCGACAGGCTGTGATGGACAGAGTCGGTTTCACGGGCAGCCGAATGGGAGTCCGGCTGTCCCTGGGGCCAGCTGGGCGGCTGCGCCGGGCTGGGATGCCGTGACTGGACTTGGTGAGTTTTTTCCAGCCTCAACAGGTTGAATTTCTGACGAGTGCATCTTTCTCTGCTGACACTTAGTACCTAGGCACCCCCGACTTCGGCAAGATGCTTGCCATCAGCTCACCGAATGTGAAGAATGAGGGCGGTGTGATATCGGCCTAGAGATATTATAAACTAGAGTTTATAGAATTAAAAATAGACAGTCTTTACAGTATATGAACCATGTGCACTCTTCAGGCTACAATCATCACTACCAGTTTAATACATGGTCAAAAAGAAATTACCAATAGTTCACAGCATGGCTGTAGGATGGCTGATCAACTACTTCGAGGCTGCGGACAAGAACTTAATCAGTATTCAGCAACGCGACTATGCCACAAGCGTATCTTTGCTGTGCATTAAAGGAATATAGTACCTGGTATTATCGCCTCATTTTGAATCAGCACGAGCAAAAGAAAACAAGAACAGCCAGCATTGCATAGGAGTCGTCGAGGCCCTGTCGAAACGGGCCCATACTTGAGCAAGGCAGGCAGATGGCTTGGCTGCTGCATTCTGCAAATGGCGCCCATTGTAACTGGTTTCGCTTCTAATATGGCAGGTCTATCGACGATCGGCAGCCAGAATGGATTTTAGCTGCGCTCTGGCATGATTCGGGCACCTTCAGGGCTGCGGGGTGCCACACCGGGGGAACGGCGAACGCCCCGCCGTAATGCATGTGCATGATGAGGTCGCATTGATTGTTACTTGTAGAGATGCCTTGGATTTTCTCATGGCAGTGATACAGCTGGCGGCTGCGTTCCGCATAGTATCGAATCAGGATGCTGCTTGTAGACACTGAATGACAAAGTGTCAAGCGAGCAGCGGAGGTCGATCTTTCAGCGATCAAACATAAACAACAGTTCCATAATGCTATACGTGATATAATTAATTTAGAAGCCTAGGTCCGGCTCCCAGCTCCTCCCCTCGTAGAATTAATATTCCGTTGCCCATAATATCGTCGTGAACCTCATTAGTCGCGATGTCGGTGACGAGTGCTGTTCCGTGCATCAGATACTCTCCACTGCCGCAGAAACAGAGTGCGGCCCCAACTCGAAATCGGCTTAGGAGCTATAAGTTGAAGCGCAACTTGATCCAGTGGTAACATATTCAGCTCATCGGGGGCAGTTGGGAGTGGTCTACTGGCCGTGGCAGCAGCCGCTGGCCGTCGAGCCGTTCTTTCAGGCCTCTTTGCGCATTTGATGTGCTCCAGTGACCGGGCGAAATCAAGCTCTTCCACACCTGTTGTCCGTGGAAGTCTAGTTTCTTGAAGCAGCATGAACACAATTCCTCCAAACACGAAGAGCAGCAGCGCGAGGTTACCCGCAATAAAGAGCCACCCGGCCCAAGGTTGTATGAACAGCCGTGAACTGGACCGGCCACTTGTTGCAATAGTGACCGTGTCATTCGGCATCGGAAACGAACCCAGGCCCAACTTACTCGCGGTGTAATTGGAAAACTGGACCGCCGTGACAGTGAATTGCAGCGGAACTGCGAGGAAATTGTGTAAACTTGCAATGAGTGTGTTCCTGTCGTCCGGGAAAGAATAGCGGTACGTCCGAAGGGCCCACGTCAAGAAGTAATTAAGCGCGTTGATATTGGTATTGTCCACTTCGCTTTCAGAAGTTCTGGGTATCAATACTCGTTTTATAATGGCGAGATACTCGGTCGCGTTTAGTAGAACCTGTTCCGGCTCGCTTGTCATCTGCACGTCTATGATGGAAGAGTTCTGCCGATCATATGAGGTGGTTGTGAATTGCTTATACGCAGTCAAATTCGTGGACCACCTGAGCGAGCCGGAGACCCAGGTCCTGTTACTGATGCACTGCTTTGTGTCGAGAAGGTCTTGGGGACACCCCGCCCAGCCTGCACATCGAGTGGTTTCTCAGAATAGTACTCTCCTATTGTGGTGGAAATCTTGGATACACATACCGACTGCTAAGGAACGATCGGCCTGCTTGACACAAAATTGGAGGGTGTCGTTGATCATCTCCCCTGAAAAGACACAATCACCAGAGGGGATTTCGGGATCGAATAGAAAATCATCTTCCAAGGGTTCAAACTTGAGAATGAGTCCGGGCGCATTGTCAATACGAATTGTTGAAGAATTGTTCAATAACCCATCGTCGAATATCGTGTAGTTCAATGACGAGTTAAATTGTCTTGCCATCTCGATCCCACCTGGAAGGATCAAGGATCTGCAATTTTCGTTGCATGCATCAAAAGGTATATCGACTGCATACCTTGTATTGGAAAGCAGGCTTGCAGTCCATATCGCAAAGTACATCGACAAATCGGAGGCTGGAATAGTAATGAGCGTCCGGAGATCGATTGGTACAAGCCCAGCGAATACCGAGATCTTGGTATCGCCCGGGACAAAGTAGTACAGAAAATCAGCCTGGACTACAATGACTTGTCAGTTGCATCTCAAAACCTGGATAGGGCCAGGGATGCCAATTTACACTTCAGTACAGAACCAAATGCAAGCCCCATAATTGGAATCGCAAGCCGCAACTCGCACCAGAGGTTGAACAGACCGCGCCATTTATCCCTGGCCCATTTCACAATTGTAAACTCCAATGCCGACAGCCACGAGGACGAGGCTCCCATTCCAAGAAAGTTCACCAGGGAAAAGCCGCGACGCCTGCTGGCAAAGCTCATCCTCAGGCATCCAAAGAGGTCTCGGATTACCATGTCGAACAAAATGGCTGCAAACTGCGAGAATATTGATACCAGCAAATTGGTTTTTGACGCGTCGAACAGGACGGATCCGATTTGTATCTTGCCACGAATGAGCACAAAGTAGATGAATATCCAGTAGACGACGCTGTAGATCACCGAGACTCCAAATGAGAGTATTAGGTCGCGAAGTGGCCCAATGTTGTCCTTGACCCTGCCGAGACACATTTGGACCATGGTTTTACGAAGCGGTGGTGCTGTTCGGGCGGCTTCTTGTGCGTTCCCGCTGGGATCCAAAAGCGCTAGTTGCAGTGTGGATGACCGGAAAGAGTCGAATTGCCTCTCCAAATCTTCCAAAGGGGTTGTGGGTCCCTGTGCCATCAGATCCCTTGGTGGACAAGGCTTTGATAAATCTACCTGTACTCGCGGGGCGATAATATCGTGAGGTTCTGAAATTATTAACTCATTATTGAACACGCATGTGAGCTTCTTGCCTGCGTTTTGTATTATACTCGAGCCGCAGCTGCCTGGCGAGAGTGTGCCGTACATGTGAGGATGGGCAGCCACATCCACGTCCTCAGCTTTCAGCTCCGGAAGCCCATTCCTAATAGCGCCACGACAGTATCGTGGTGGTGTGGTGTATAGCCAATAGAAAGATGCCCGTCCATGCACCAGCAACAAACTGTTATCTCTCACTTATAATCAATTGAACCCTTGAGACTGCTGAGCAATCATTGACTGGGCTCTTCTAACAATTGCCGCCTCAAGGTAGGATCTGGTCCCAGTCCCGGCTCACGATACTCCGTTCAATTAAGACGGTTCAGCCGCGTTGGCAAGATGTCCTAGATTAGCGGCGCAAAAGCATTTCGAACCACTGGGCCCTGATCTGCATGGCTAATTCGTTCTTGTGACGATAAAGTGGTCCGAAGTGGATGTAATCTCCGGGAGTCATGTCCACGGGTGCTCGTGATATCAACCGAGGTTCTCGTCACGACCTCCAGGGCTGTTGGAGCGTGGTAGGGTTGGGGCTACAAAATGCGTCGAGCCATGATGATTCTGGGGTGGCGCTGATCATTGCCGAGAAGAGCTGTAACTCCACAGGTGGGCCGTGAACTCCACATGCACTGGCACCTCTGGAGCGACCTCCCGTGACAGCTTATTGCCTGGCATCTTGGTACATTTCGCAGTGCACGAAGCTGCAGGTCAGATGGAAAATGTCTGCTAAAATGAGGTCAAAGGAGGCAATAGAACACCTATCTTCAGGGCTGTAGCGCTCCTGTCAAGAGCAACCAAATAGATATAGCGCGTATTTTCCTCTCGGTGACGACGATGCTTGTAGTTTCTCATCCGACATGAGAACTACTTACACGCACTCTTGCACCTGGCCTATATCATGGCTTCCGAGACCTACCCACACGTCTTTACCGTAGGACCCGATCTGAGCGGTGTGACTCTAGCACAATTTTTACGCGAAAACAGCGTCGCCTCCGAAATTTTCGAACACGAAAAATCCGCTGATACGAGAGCACAGGGCTGGGCCATTGCCCTCCACGGTCCTGGAAGACTTCAAGGAGCACATGCCCGACGACATCGGCCTCATCGAGTGCACCAAGCATCTTATGCCTCTGGGCTCACTGGTGCACCTCGTCTTCTACCCGGCCAAGAACCCCGACATGCGCCTCGGTGTCTAGAACGACGACAAGGGGAAGATCGTGCATGAAAACAGGAAGAACTTTGGGTAAATGGCGGCCTTTCTTGATTTTCACCGTACTACGAACACGCGACCCTTAGCTACAAATATGCCTTTACCTGCTCCTCACACCAGTCCCAGAACTTTCGGACCCCACCTGTCCCACCCTCAGCCGCAGACTTTGTTGCATTGAGCAGATCTGGCCGAAGCGCGCGGAATCGACCCCACGGGATTACTACGTGATAGTCAGAATTCGGAGCGAGACATTGAACCAGACAAGTGTAAGGTATAGATCATGGGGGAAAGTACGCACCCCACTCCTGAGACCAGTCTGAGTCCACTGTAACATCCGGCGAGAACGCGGCAAACAGCTCCGTGTAAGCGCCGTTGACGACCGGGTAGCAGAGCACCGCCACCATGATCTTGATCACGATGCTCTGGTCTCGGGGTAGCTCGGTCCGCAGATTACCAGGGTCGATGGGCACGCTGACGACTATTCTATGGTATTCACTTGCTTGTGTAATTATCCGCAGCGATATCTATTGCCGAATCCTAAAGCGCAAGCGATTTAAGAGTGAGAGCAGCTATACATACTGCCGTCTGAGCGAGAGTGTAATCCACAGCCAGGGCCCAAATCCCGGCCTTACCGAGTCCGTACCGCTCAGTGTTGGGCTGTGGCCGGTGGTAGTCCAGGTTGACCAGAGAGACGCCCACGTCCTCGGATGCGGAGAGATTCAGCCCGAAAGAGGACACCCAAACGACGCGAACCGTGTTGGGCGGCTCAGTTTTGGCGGTGGCCGCCAGCGTGGGCGTGAGCAGCTGCGTGAAGAGGAAGGGTGCCAAGCAGTTGACACCCAGGCTCAGCTCGTACCCCTGGTTCGTTCTTGGTATCGGCTCCCCGGTACCTACCATGACTCCCGCGTTGTTGAACAAGAGGTGGATCTTTTCCTCCTTTGCAATGAGGTTCTCGGCCGCGGCTTTCGTACTCGGTAGATCAGCTAGGTCGAGCGGCAGGAAGACCAGTTCTCCCGTAGACCTCGCGCAGGCCGGTTCCGTCCTGACGGATTCGATGGCCTTGAGGGCCTTCTCCTCTGAACGGCATGCCACGTAGACCTTGGCATTCTTCATGTACAAGAATCGAGCCACATCTTTGCCGATGCCCGTGTTGGACCCTGTCACCACGCAGACCTTGCCGGTCAGGTCCGGCACATCTTTCTCGGTGAATCGAGGCTTGGGCGGGAAAAAGTGTGTCAAGACTGTCCAGAAGGAGGGCCCTGGAGCCATGTTCGCTAACCTAGATTGGCTGGCTGGAAGCGGTCACATCAAGGTTCAGGTTGCAAGCCTCAGAATTACGCTACAGCGAGCGTCTCTTGAGGTAGTCAAGAAGTGGTGAGGAGACGAGGGATGCAATGCTGTTGACCTTAGCTCTTACCAGGCCGGTGGATCGGCATGCGGAAGTTGCGCTGTGGCCAGTCGCTGTCTCTAGCCCTTTTCTTCTTAGCTGCAATTCAAATGCCACCATCACTACCCCATGGTGGTTCAGCTGTCGGGTCATCAGGCCCTCTGCAAAAGTATCCGGCCACAGCTAAGGTGAGATTCTTCACCAACGAGTTACGCAGCCTACAAGTTAACGAGAAATAGGATTTTCGACAAGAGAAAAACACCAAAGGAATCCTTATTCAATTCTCAGTAGGACGTTAATAATAAATCTTACCACACACTTTATGGATGTTATGTGATTAATGCTGAAAGTTGAGCAGTTTTGGTGTTGCTAACACTTATGGTCGGATACTAGTGCACTCCGCCTGGTCATCAGAATCCTAATTCCACACCACCTACCGAACCGAACGGGAGGATGTGAAAGCATGCGGCCCAATTCCAACCCTAGTCGACCCCAATGCTACCCAAATCTCAAGGCTGGAACCTGGACACAACAGGTATATGACAATCATAGACACTCCAAGTTGTAGTAAAGATGGGCCAGGGTGAAGCTGATCATCTCCCCAGTGAAATATTCAATGAGTAAAAAGTCGACTATTCTATTGAATACGAAGAAATTGCGGGGACAACAGTGTTTAACTCAATCAACAGTTAGGGTGTGATCACGGAGGAAAGTTAGTATAGTGTGGTAATTAAATAGGTTATATTCTAGTAAGGATATAATTTTAATAAGGCCTTTATTTTTAATTTAGTAGTAGATTTTATTTATAAGTAGAATTTTCTATTTATATTAGTTTATATTAAGTTTTAATATATACTTTTTATTTTATTATAAATTATAATTACTTTAAGAGAAGATTTATATATATTTTATTATTAAATTAATGTTTTTATTAATATATATATTAACTTTATATAGTTAATATACTTATTAATTATAATTAGTATACTTTTTAAAGTTTTTTTAAATAGATTTTATTTAATAGATATAGAATTTAAATTTTAAAAGGGTATTTTTATATTATTTATATTAGTATAGTATTACTTTTAAAATTAAAGGGAGGAGAGTAAAAGTTATATAATATAAAGTTATATAATCTTTATTATACTTACTTTTATATTATAGTAAAGTAGGTATTTAAATTATTAAAAAGAAATAAAAGATTATTTATATTTTTATATTTAAATATAATAATAAAATATAAATTAAGTTTATTTATATTTATATAGTATTATATAATTTTTAATTAATTTTAAATAAATAAAAGAGAATAAGGTTTTAAAGTATTAAAAGAATTTTTAATTAATAATTTTATATATTTATTATTATAAAGTAAAGTAAATAGTTTATTAAATAGAAAATTAAATATTAAAGAAAGTAATTATTATAAAGATATAGTTAAATTATTATAAAAGGTATTATAATAATATGAATTTAAAAAATAATAGTTTTTAATAGGAAACTTTAATAGTTTATTAGTTAAGTATTTAAAGTTTAATTTTTAAATATTATTTTATAAAGGTATTAAAATTTAATATTTTTAATTAAAATAAGATATTTTAATTTTAAAAAGTTTTAAATTTATTAATTAAGTTTTTTTATATATTTATTAATTTAAATTTTAATTTTAATTATTAATTAAAGAGATATAAAATTTTAATATTTAAAATTTAAATTTATTAAATAAGTTAAATACTTTATTAATTATAATTAAAAATATTAAAATCCATTATATTTTAAGTAATATTTTAATATATTTTAATATAAAAGATAAAATTTAATTATTAATAAATTATATAAAATAGAGAATAAGTTATAAAATATATATTTTAAAACCTTTATAAAATATAATTTAAAAGTTAAATAAAGATATTAAATATAATTTTTAAAATAATTAAAACTTTTAATTATTATTATATTATTAAATATATTTATAATTTATTAACTTTTAATTTAATTAATATTATTTATTTTTAATTATTATTAACTTTTAATATATAATAAATTTACTATAAATTTATAAATTTATAATAAATTTATTAGAAAATAATAATTTTACTATAAATTTATAATAAATTTACTATAATATAATAAATTTACTATAAATTTACTAGATAGTTACTTATATAACCTTTCTTTATATATTTATTAGGAATTTATAAACTATTAATTTTATATTTTTAATATATAATAGCTATAATTATATATTTTAATTATATATTTATTATTTTACTTTACTTTAGGGATTAAATTAATAAAATTAGCTATTATTATATAGTTATTTATATAAATTAAACTACTCTTATTAGTAGTTAATAGACTACTTTAAAATAATAAATAATTAAATTTATTATAATAATAGATTTATTTAATTAAAAGATATTTATATTATTATAACTTTATAAACCTATTATAATAATATAATAAGGAGTAAATTCTCTTTTAATTTATAATTTCTTTTATTTTTTATTAAAGTTTTATAACTTTTACTTTATTAGAAATATATAAATATTTTCTATATTAATTAGACTATTTAATAAAAATTAAGTTTATTTTAAGTTAAAATAAGTAAAGAAGATAAAAACTTTTTATTTTAATTTATAACTTTATTTATTAATAAAATTATATAAATAATATTAAATAATTTATAACTCTTTTATAATTTAAGGTAATAACTTTTAATTATAAACTATTAAATTATTAATAAAAGATTAAAGTTATTTTATTAAATTAAGTTTAAAATAATAAATCTTTTAGAAAATTTATAAAGGTACTTTAAAATTAAAGGAAAGTAATAATAAATTAATAAAAATATATAAAGTATATTATTATTTTTATTTTTAATTATTATTAATAATTTTAAATAATAGAATATTTTATTAAATAAAGTATAATTATAATAGTTTATTTTTATTATAATAAGTTTAAATAGAAATTTAATATTATAATAGTATTTATAAATTAAAATATTTTAATAAAGTAATATTTTAAATTTAATAACTTTATTAAATTTAATCTTTTAACTTATAATATATATAACTTTAATAAAGTTATATTATAATTTATAACTATATAAAAGAAGGTTTTAAAATTTAAATAATATAGAGGCTTAGTAAAGACCTTTAATTATTTTAGGAACTAATAGTCTCCCAAGGAATCTAAAAGATCTATTTTATTAATCTAATAGAGGAGTAATTAGATTTAAAGGGAATATTAAAACTTAATTACTTTATTTTTATAATTTAAATTAAAGAGAGGTAATATTTATTAACTCTTTATATAAAATAATTAATAAATATCTTTACTTTTAAAAATAAAGGAATAGTTTTATATATTACCTTTAAATTAATAAATTAACTTAAAAGAATACTTTTATATATATATTAAGTAGATTAATTATAAACTCTTATACTCTCTATTATATATATATAGCTACTATTAAGCTATCTAAACCTCTATTTTAAGATAAATAGGCTCTATAGGTAAGAGGATATTATTTATATTAATAAAATACTTATATAATAAAAGTAGCTAATAAATAAGTATTATTTAACTCTATTAAATTAATATTTAATATTAATAACTATATTTATAATATTAAATTAAATAATTTAAATTAAAACTTAAGAATATATAATTAATAAATTTTAATATTTTTAATTTTCAAATAATAATAGACTTTTATATAAAATCTCTAACTTTTATATAAATAGAGAATAAAGGATACCCTTTTAATTACTTTAAACTATATAAGGATTAGAATAACTTTAAAAACTTTTTAATTATCTTTTATATAAATAATAAAGTTATAATATAAAAAGACCCTAAAGATTTATTAATAAATATAATATTTATATTATTAATAATAATTAATAGAGTAGATAGCTCTACTAGAATTTACTTATTAATCTCTTTAGAATTATTTACTTATAGTTCTAGACTATATTATTTAATAATAAATAGTAAAGGTTTATTATAAGCTATTTAGATAGATAGGATTTTTAGAAGAGCTATTTATTAAATAACTTTTAGATTCTTTAAGATATTATTAAAATCTTTTAATTAATAATATTATTTATAGGTAAATATATATAATAATTATAATATTTAAAAGTATATTTAATAAGTTAAGAGGTTTATCTTTTAATAGAGTAATTAAATTCCTTTATTTTTATAATATTTAAAATAAAATAAATAAAGTTTTAATTATTTTATATTTTAATTACTTTAAAGTAGGCTATAATTTTTAATAATTAGAGATAAAACTTTATAATAAGTAAGAAATATAATACTTTTAGAAAAGAATTAAATAAAAGTCTATCTATTATTAACTTAATATAAAGGTATATAATTATTAACTATTAAAGGATAGAACGCTATTTAAACTACCCTCTCTATCTATATCTATTTATTTTAAAATCTACTCTCCTTATTAATAAATAAAACTATTTACTAACTAAAGGTATAAATATCTAATAAATACTTAATTCAGCTATTAACTTTAACTATTAAACCTAATAACTTTATTTTAAATAAAGTTTATTAAAACTTAACTTTAAAGTAATACTAAAAATTATATAATATAAGATAAATACTTTAATAATAAAGTTTTACTTTATACCCTTAGTTTAAAATACTTATTAATATTATAAATAAATAAATTATATTAATTAATAATTAAAAAGTAGATTAATATTAATTACTTTAATATATATATTATTTTAACTAATAAAATAAATATAATAATATACTATATTATATAAAATAATACTTTAATATAAATAATAAAAACTTTTAATATAATTTTAATTATAAAAGGAGTTAAAATATAATAAATACTATT